ACGAATTTTCGAAAATTTTCACGTTTGCGTTATTAGGAGAACATGATTTGTAAAGAGGTCATCAACGCATCATCGACCTCCTCGCAAAATATATTCTCCTGATAATATAAATAATAAGAAACGAATTTTCGAAAATTTTCGCGTTGCGTTATTAGGAGAACATGATTTGTAAAGAGGTCATCAACGCATCATCGACCTCCTCGCAAATATATTCTCCTGATAATATAAATAATAAGAAACGAATTTTCGAAAATTTTCACGTTTGCGTTATTAGAGAACATGATTTGTAAAGAGGTCATCAACGCATCATCGACCTCCTCGCAAAATATATTCTCCTGATAATATAAATATAAGAAACGAATTTTCGAAAATTTTACGCTTGCGTTATTAGGAGAACATGATTTGTAAAGAGGTCATCAACGCATCATCGACCTCCTCGCAAAATATATTCTCCTGATAATATAAAATAATAAGAAACGAATTTTCGAAAATTTTCACGCTTGCGTTATTAGGAGAACATGATTTGTAAAGAGGTCATCAACGCATCATCGACCTCCTCGCAAAATAATTCTCCTGATAATATAAAATAATAAGAAACGAATTTTCGAAAATTTTACGCTTGCGTTATTAGGAGAACATGATTTGTAAAGAGGTCATCAACGCATCATCGACCTCCTCGCAAAATATATTCTCCTGATAATATAAATAATAAGAAACGAATTTTCGAAAATTTTCACGCTTTGCGTTATTAGGAGAACATGATTTGTAAAGAGGTCATCAACGCATCATCGACCTCCTTCGCAAAATATATTCTCCTGATAATATAAAATAATAAGAAACGAATTTTCGAAAATTTTCGCGTTTGCGTTATTAGGAGAACATGATTTGTAAAGAGGTCATCAACGCATCATCGACCTCCTCGCAAAATATATTCTCCTGATAATATAAAATAATAAGAAACGAATTTTCGAAAATTTTCACGTTGCGTTATTAGGAGAACATGATTTGTAAAGAAGTCATCAACGCATCATCGACCTCCTCGCAAAATATATTCTCTGATAATATAAAATAATAAGAAACGAATTTTCGAAAATTTTCACGTTTGCGTTATTAGGAGAACATGATTTGTAAAGAGGTCATCAACGATCATCGACCTCCTCGCAAAATATATTCTCCTGATAATATAAATATAAGAAACGAATTTTCGAAAATTTTCGCGTTTGCGTTATTAGGAGACATGATTTGTAAAGAGGTCATCAACGCATCATCGACCTCCTCGCACAATATATTCTCCTGATAATATAAATTATAAGAAACGAATTTTCGAAAATTTTCACGCTTGCGTTATTAGGAGAACATGATTTGTAAAGAGGTCATCAACGCATCATCGACCTCCTCGCAAAATATATTCTCCTGATAATATAAATTATAAGAAACGAATTTTCGAAAATTTTCACGCTTGCGTTATTAGGAGAACATGATTTGTAAAGAGGTCATCAACGCATCATCGACCTCCTCGCAAATATATTCTCCTGATAATATAAATTATAAGAAACGAATTTTCGAAAATTTTTCGCGTTTGCGTTATTAGGAGAACATGATTTGTAAAGAGGTCATCAACGCATCATCGACCTCCTCGCAAAATATATTCTCCTGATAATATAAATTATAAGAAACGAATTTTCGAAAATTTTCCGCTTTGCGTTATTAGGAGAACATGATTTGTAAAGAGGTCATCAACGCATCATCGACCTCCTCGCAAAATATATTCTCCTGATAATATAAATAATAAGAAACGAATTTTCGAAAATTTTCGCTTGCGTTATTAGGAGAACATGATTTGTAAAGAGGTCATCAACGCATCATCGACCTCCTCGCAAAATACATTCTCCTGATAATATAAAATAATAAGAAACGAATTTTCGAAATTTTCACGCTTGCGTTATTAGGAGAACATGATTTGTAAAGAGGTCATCAACGCATCATCGACCTCCTCGCAAAATATATTCTCCTGATAATATAAAATAATAAGAAACGAATTTTCGAAAATTTTACGCTTGCGTTATTAGGAGAACATGATTTGTAAAGAGGTCATCAACGCATCATCGACCTCCTCGCAAAATATATTCTCCTGATAATATAAAATAATAAGAAACGAATTTTCGAAAATTTTCACGCTTGCGTTATTAGGAGAACATGATTTGTAAAGAGGTCATCAACGCATCTTCGACCTCCTCGCAAAATATATTCTCCTGATAACATAAAATAATAAGAAACGAATTTTCGAAAATTTTCACGCTTGCGTTATTAGGAGAACATGATTTGTAAATAGGTCATCAACGCATCATCGACCTCCTCGCAAAATATATTCTCCTGATAATATAAAATAATAAGAAACGAATTTTCGAAAATTTTCACGCTTGCGTTATTAGGAGAACATGATTTGTAAAGAAGTCATCAACGCATCATCGACCTCCTCGCAAAATATATTCTCTTGATAATATAAATTATAAGAAACGAATTTTCGAAAATTTTCACGTTTGCGTTATTAGGAGAACATGATTTGTAAAGAGGTCATCAACGTATCATCGACCTCTTCGCACAATATATTCTCCTGATCATATAAATTATAAGAAACGAATTTTCGAAAATTTTCGCGTTTGCGTTATTAGGAGATCATGATTTGTAAAGAGGTCATCAACGTATCATCGACCTCGTCGCACAATATATTCTCCTGATCATATAAATTATAAGAAACGAATTTTCGAAAATTTTCGCGTTTGCGTTATTAGGAGATCATGATTTGTAAAGAGGTCATCAACGCATCATCGACCTCCTCGCACAATATATTCTCCTGATAATATAAATTATAAGAAACGAATTTTCGAAAATTTTCGCGCTTGCGTTATTAGGAGAACATGATTTGTAAAGAGGTCATCAACGCATCATCGACCTGCTCGCAAAATACATTCTCCTGATAATATAAAATAATAAGAAACGAATTTTCGAAAATTTTCACGCTTGCGTTATTAGGAGAACATGATTTGTAAAGAGGTCATCAACGCATCATCGACCTCCTCGCAAAATATATTCTCCTGATAATATAAAATAATAAGAAACGAATTTTCGAAAATTTTCACGCTTGCGTTATTAGGAGAACATGATTTGTAAAGAGGTCATCAACGCATTATCGACCTCCTCGCAAAATATATTCTCCTGATAATATAAAATAATAAGAAACGAATTTTCGAAAATTTTCGCGCTTGCGTTATTAGGAGAACATGATTTGTAAAGAGGTCATCAACGCATCATCGACCTCCTCGCAAAATACATTTTCCTGATAATATAAAATAATAAGAAACGAATTTTCGAAAATTTTCACGCTTGCGTTATTAGGAGAACATGATTTGTAAAGAGGTCATCAACGCATCATCGACCTCCTCGCAAAATATATTCTCCTGATAATATAAAATAATAAGAAACGAATTTTCGAAAATTTTCACGCTTGCGTTATTAGGAGAACATGATTTGTAAAGAGGTCATCAACGCATTATCGACCTCCTCGCAAAATATATTCTCCTGATAATATAAAATAATAAGAAACGAATTTTCGAAAATTTTCACGCTTGCGTTATTAGGAGAACATGATTTGTAAAGAGGTCATCAACGCATCATCGACCTCCTCGCAAAATATATTCTCCTGATAATATAAAATAATAAGAAACTAATTTTCGAACATTTTCACGCTTGCGTTATTAGGAGAACATGATTTCTAAAGAGGTCATCAACGCATCATCGACCTTCTCGCAAAATATATTCTCCTGATAATATAAATATACATATAATGACTGTCCATCTCTGAATAGTTCGGACATGAACCTATATCATAGACACAAACCATGTTTCGTTACCGAGCGTAATGGACATAGTTCACGTCCACTTTGTCAGACGGCGCGTCAAGCATCGAGAAATGTGCCCGTCGAGGCTGGTGGCCGCTCTCAGGTTTCTCTCTGATAATAGTAGTTGCGTCATTTACGTTACGTATCAGCTGATCATTATTGAATGAGTTGAATGAGGGATTTTAATTTTCAATGAGAATGAGAACAAAAATTTCTTTTTATATATATATTACAGTTAAGTATTAGAATTAATTTCTTTGTCCATCCAAAATTAAGCAGAAAATTTGCAAAAATTTAAAAATGGATATAACTCGTAATTTAGTGTCATAGCTTATAATTAAATGCCACATAAGAAAGCGCAAAGACAACTTCTTCTCCTTAAAAAAAGAAATAAAGATTCTACTTCTTATTTTTCGATTCAATGTATGATTGTATTGATTACATACGTATCATATAGAGTATCATTAGATGTTTCTTTTTGTAACAGATTTTTAATTTTTGCTAATTTAGAAATAATTTTTCCTTAGTAAAAATGTCAAGGCAATAATTTTTAATTTATAAATGATTAGAAAGGAAGGAATTTTGACAATTTAAACTTTGTAGACTTAAAAGATTAACAAAACTACATTTTTCAGATAATTTCAGGTGGTTTAATTTAATAAAATTTTAGTTTAACATTTAATTATACAAAGATATATGAGTGTAAAAAAAATAAAAACTTGGTAAATAAAAAAAATGATGACTTCTCTTTTCATTAAAATTTTCATTGAAAATAATGATCTCCAAAAAATCTGCTACAATTAAAAGAACAGTTTAGTGATTTTGAGACACATCTTGTATATCCTAATTCATTCATGCTTTCTCTACTTTTATTAATGATACTAAATAATATAATATAAATTAATATTAAGAAAAAATGTAGAAAGCAATATACGAAATCTGATGTTATAATGACATAACTTAAATTTTTATTTTATATATGTGAAAAAGATATTAAATTAGAAAACAGAACAATATTTTAAAATATCCTGTTTTTAAATAATCATAATCATAAAATATATTCCAAGAATTAGAGTAATATACTTTTTATATAATTCGCGGCACTCAAGCATCTTTTAAATGTATTTAATATAATGTATAATATCAACACATATTTATAACACGTCATTGCGACTTGAAATAAATCTCTTTTCGAATATTCTGTAATAAATTATTATAACAAGAAACAAATTTGTAAACTAAGTGTTCCATTGTATAAACAATTTTTTAAACGCTCATGATTAATTTCATAAAATACATTCTCATTAAAATATTTCTCTTAATTCGTCTATTATACTGGCAGGATACATAATGATGTCTTAATCTTTTATTGACAAAAAAAAGAAATGATCATTCGGTTTGCGTAGACTGATGTGCTCGCACAGGAAGCGGGAGGACCGTATCGCCAACCGTCAGAGATCCTTGACTGAAAACTTGCACTCCTTTGGACGATGTCGGCGTGTACCTGTTTCGCATCCGATGAATCGGTTGACGTGCTTTGATCATCGTATACCATCCTTTCTGACGTTTTGCCAGAGGACTTTGGATGTCCACGGCTGAATCCACTTGCATTGGAGTCACCTCAGCTATTTCGCGGGCTCGTTTGTTAGGTCGAAGCTGGATGCTGTGGCTGGATGCTGTGGCTGGTTCCAGGGATGTCGATGTCGATTCCTCAATGATTTTCCGCTGTTCGATTACTTCGGTTGTTGTGACTTGGTTGTTGCTTGCTGGAATGCCCAAGCCTGAAATTGGGATTCGGACAGAGATTGCGGTTCAAGCTTTCTAGAATTGTGTTAACAAGATCTATTATATATTTATTTAAAAAATTCTATCAAATATATATCAATTCACGAGTAGCTGAAATTTTTACTGACCAGAGAAACTTTTTAGGGCGTACTTCATAGCTTGCGCGACGGCAGCAAAGAATCCATTGTTATTTTTAACGTTTCGCGTAGGTAATGAAGAAGATGGCACGATCTGTCGACGATCTGTCGGATCCTTCGTGGAATAACTCTCGACATTCTCGACACTCATCTGCATCCTCGTAATAGATTTCTTGGATAAGTTAACAGTATCAGTAGACTCAACCTCCGAAGACGGTTGATTCGTCGACGCAAGTTGTTCTTGTAGCTTCTTCAGACCTGAATTAATTAGAGGCATCAGATCAGTGTTCAAATCTCCCGAATTGCTTTCCATCAATACCGTTATTAATACCCTGCTGGATTCTTGCCGACACATAGCTGACGAGTCTTCGTCTTTTATTTCGGGATTTTGATTCTCCTTTTCTGTGTTCTTCGTGTCGTTTTGCAGATCGGAAGAATTTTGCAGAGGTTTTTCGGAAGAACACTTTTTGATCTCCACCTGGTTGTCTTTTGTATTCTCTATGTCTTGCACGATCTTCCTCGTGTCTTTTATATCATTCGTGTCTTCCAAATTCTTCGCACTTGGCGTACTTGAGATTTGATGAGCATCATGGAACTTCTCCTCTTCCGTCGATGCGTTTAATGTGATCTTAACGCAGGACTTTATTGAGTCGTCGCATTTCAATACAGTTTCATGTTGATCGGAGAACCTCACTTTCTTCACAACATCCGGCGTTCTGTCTGATTTTTCACAGATGTTCGAGGCCGGCGATTCCAGAATCCCGCCTTCAGCTTCTGTCAGATTCATATATACCGTCTCATCCGCGGTTATTTTCTCGGCTTTGTTATCAGCAATTTCATCTTCTTCCTCCATGATATTCAGCTTCCTGCCGGAATTATTTTTGGACGACTGTTCGTCCTTGAAGGTTCTGAAAGGAGTATCCTCGTTTGAGATGTGAGAGAAGCTGAAGAACTCGGTGATACTGCAGATACCACTGTTCTGTGATATTTGAGCGTTGATCGGTGAGTTTGTTTTGGGTGTCTTGAGGCTGAAATATGGCACACAGGGAGTCTCGAAACTGGCCTTCTGGCCGAGCATCGGCGTGCTGGTCTTTCGTTGGAGCTCGGGTGGCGTACAAATTCCGTTGTAATTGCTTATACAATATTGTTTCAGCTTCTGTTCAAGGCCTATCGGTGATAGCGAAAATTGAGACCACCACTTGCACTTGTCTACAGTTTATCCGGTATAAAAAAAGCTTATATATAATTAAATATAACTATATACAATATTATAAATTTATAATGATTATATATAAATAATTTTTTTTCAACTCCTAAAATAATTTTGAAATTAAGAGATATAATTTTTTTTATTGTTTACATGAATCTGTATGAGTATGTGTGTTGTAAATTTATATTTTATATCATCATTATAAAATCTAAAAAATCTAAAAAAATTCAAAATCCAAAAAAATTGATTTTAGTTAAAAATTTCAAAAAAATTAAAATTTAAATAAATTTATTGTGATTGTAAAAGTTTAAACAAACTTCTCAATTCAAAAAGCGATTTAAAAAAAATAGTATTATATATGTGAAAAATATTTTTTTATATCTATTAGACTGTCATCGAATATATAATTTTATTAGACATTAAAATATAAAATTTTTATTAATTTCTTCTAATTGGTTTACTTTTTTATATACTATAAGAACTGAATGCATATTATATTAGATTTTTTAATTTCGTTATAAACTTGTTTCGCGAATTACCGAAGGACTTGAAATCTTCTTTAGATTTGTATAAGTCACCACACAGCTGACAATGTAACGGCAAATGTTTTTCCACTATATGATTCAATAATTCCTCGTCCCTCAGATTCAGTTTCATAAACTCGCCATATCGTATCGGCAGTATTTCAAAAGCGCACAGGCAACAGTCGACATTCAGGTCGAAATGCATCTTATTTACGTGGCGATCGCGACATTTTGCGCAGCAGAACACGTCCTTGCAGAATCGACAAACCCTGTCTGCCTATCGAATAAAAAAAAGGGAATTTTTGAAAATTAATATAAGATGCTTCCAATAAATACCTTGTCCTTCCACATATTCAGACGCGATCGCCTACTATCATGACGTTCCTGTGTTTACTGTTTGATGTGACCAGCCGTCTGTCAATAATATCACTCGTGCGATCATAACAATGTAAACGAACAAATATATACATATATAAAATAAACGTTATAAAGAAATATAAATCTAAATTTATATGTATATATACATATCTCGTTTCCGATTTGCAATATGTAATTGAATAAATTGAATAAATTTGGAATAAAATCTCATTAATAAATAGACATTTAAGAATTAAGAAAATTTTAAATTTAAATTTGAACAAATTTTAAATTTTTTGTATCATAAAGAAATTATAAAATGAGAAAAATTGGTTTAATCGTCATAACTAAAGATCTATACATTCTTGATAAATGTTCGATTTTATGAAAATTAATTAAGATCGAGAGTAAGAATTCATATTTTTAATCGTACTATAAAAGTCCCCCTAATATATTAATTTTAGTGTAATACAATACAAAAAATATATATTTTCATTTATTATATTAAAATATTATCTATATTTCCAGCTTCCTCAGACACATACAAATTTTGTAACGCAGCAATGGTTGCTTCCTCTTCTTTATTCTCATCTTTAATGCTTTCAGTTTTTGCAATTGCATCAGAATCTTCAGAGTTGTTTTCTGTAGCAGTAATTAATGCATTTTTCTTGAATTCTGCCATAGATGATGCACCGTTTTCAATTGCTATATTGATGTCGGTCTCGTTAAATTCAGTCTCATGATCAAAAGTAAAAGAGCTTCCAGCTCTTCTATTTTCTAACAAAGATAACGCCTCAGCATAGGGCGGTGCTATTGGAGTTTGTACTGGTTCATGATACTTGTATTTCTTCCCATCTAACTAATAACATTTTTAAATAATGATAAGATTAAGATATAACGAAATATACAAGCAAAATACAAAAAAGATTGTTGCTAAAAATATCTATGAATCATAATCAAATAAAAATATAATATTACACTTACATTTAATGGATAGCACATGTCAGAGTCAGGTTGATTAAGATCTCCACATACAACAAATGGAACAATGATTCTATTGACTCCTGTTAACTCTTCAAAATTGCATGGTTCGTGCGTCAGTAAAGGATTCAGCATGTGCGGTTTATAGCCTTCTGGTGGAGAATAGTCTTTACAAACTACAAACGCCTCGATACTTGAATTACGGGAACTACTGGGTTTTGTGCAATACACATAAGGGAAAAATATCCTCAGTTGAGCATACAAGAACGACACATCCTTAGCACGAAAGATTTTTGCTACAAACGTTCCACCAGGTCTCAAGATGTGTGTTGTTATATTCAGAGCAGCTAATAAAAGCTGCGATTGAATGAATATATCCATATCATGTAAACCAGTTACTGGATAAAATAAAATTCATTAATAATTTCAGATAAATTAATTTCGATTTGACACAAAAATAATGTGAGATACACACCATCAGGTGCTCCATCACATACTACTAGATCTGCTTGAGTATTATCAAAATGCGCAATGATCTGCTGTGCAGTATTGGTGTTGGTAATGTCACCTTGTAGTTGAATAACTCCTTCCAAGGGTGCCATTGCCTGCAAATCAACTGCTACAATTTTTGGAGGAGATGCATTGCCCGTTTCTAAAGCCTTCTTGTAGTTCTCACTGTATCAAAAAATAAATATATAAGTATTTATAAAACAAAATAAATATATAAGTAATAATCTATAGATATTATAATTTATCCAATTTATACATGTATTTATATTTAAGGAACATATTTTTTTATTAAATAGATTTTATAGAGTAGATTAGTGTTAATCTTTTCTGAAATTTACTTACTTCAACTTGCGAGCTAAGACTTGGCTCCAGCTTCCAGGTGCAGCACATAAATCCACTGCTTTGGATACTCCTAAAAGAGAGAAACAATGTTTTTTTTTTAAATATAGATATTTCCTTTATTATTATTAGTTTTAAAGTATTTCTCTTTTGTTTTTTCTATCTCTTTCATTTTTTTCTCAAAATGTATAATAAAATATGTAAATGGAAAACAGGTTTATTATACAAACCATCGAAAATGTGACATTCAGTATCGATTTGTAGTAGTTTGAAAGCACTTCGGGCTCGCCATCCTTCTTCCTTTGCTTTTCTATAATATATATCGCGCTTATCCTTCGACGTTTTTCCCATTGTTATGGTGATATTTCGATAGAAATTAAGATTCTTGCTATTTGCTTAAATCTGTGCTTAAATCTGTTTGACAGTTTTGAAAATTTTTACAGGTTATGTTTCGCAGTTTATTTCAACAATAAACACGGTTCGAATCAATGCTTCATTAAATGGGTTTGAATCTATGCTAAATATGGTTCGAATCTTCGCTAAGTAGGTTTGAATCTCCGCTTCTTCTTCGGTTTATGATTCGCTTCGATTGAACAAAGTAGGTTTCAATTGTTAGAAATCCTAGATTACAGTATTTTTTATTATTAATTCATCGATTATATGATGTACATGATTTTTAAGAGGTAACACGAAAATAAGATTTTTAATTAATTTAATTAAATCTTTATCTTGACTTAATATCACAGTAAATGTCAATTCTATTAATCTCATCATCGGAAGTACTTGTAGATTAATAAATTTCCTATATCGAATTATTATCAAGATTTATACATATTTAATCAATATTTTATATTATCTTTATTAATCCCTGATGATGATGCACTTACACTTTTGATGATATATTATAATAATAAGAATGATTATAATTATATTCTTTTAAATTCTTTTAAATATATTTTTTTCATATTTAAATTAAATTAATTTAAGAATTTCTTGTTGTCGGAGAAAGATTAAAGAAAAAAATATATTTGTTTTCTAACAAATTATAATTAAAGTATAATCAATTCTTTACTTAAAAAAATCGTAGCGTCCCTTCAATGATATTTTTCATTGTAAAAAGTTATTTTTCTTTCTTATTATATTTTGAAGCAGTAACACATCAGCATTGACATATTTTTACATACTTTATTTTACTTGTACCATTTTTATCTCACGATAGAAAAATTTATCACATTTTATTTACAATATATCTCAGATTTAAGTATATTTTTGATAGAAAGTTTAAGAAATAAAATATTTATAAAGTATTTAATAAATGACTTCACATATGTTTAACTTTACACGGAGGCCAATATTTTATATTGCTCACAAGAAGATAAAAAATTATCGTATGATAACGTTAGAAAATACGATTACTTTGTTCCGGTACCCTTTTTTCTCTCAAATTATTATAAGATAAAAATTAAAAGTGCAAATATATACAGAAAGTTTTGCTTTAGTTATTTATAATTAGTATCATATAATTTAACTCCTACTATGAAAGTATCTAAACACGATTTAATCGAAATATACATGCAATGTAATTGAATGTAAAAATAAATATTATAAATGGACATAATTAGCATAATGTTTATATAACTTTCATATTAGGAATATTAACTTTTATATGCTTTTATAATACAATGCAATATATTTAAATTTGACATCAATATTTTCCGAATAGATAAGAAATATAGAATTAGCATTTTATAAATATTAAAAAAAAGATTTTTGTTTTATTTTTCAACTGCAATGTATAACTATGCATACACGATATTGTTCGCAAATATAAAAACTTCTATTTTTAAGAATAAAAAAACTATTTTTTGAAATAAATTATTTTAAAAACACAGTACACGTTAATTAATTTTTATAAATATTTTAATGTGTACATATTTTTGTCATTTTTTTCATATACAGATTAAGTTATAATAAGAATGCTATATAGTTGCTCCTCATGCAACAAATATATATATGTATTTATGTGTAATTATTTCTATTTTTCTTTTTATTTTTTTTTATACAAGATATTTTTTTAGTTTCTTCTTCTTTTTGACTAATTATATAATAATTTATTTATTTTTATATTCATTGAAAAAAAATTTTCTAGAAATTAATAGAATTCCTCTCTTGTCTTGCTTTTTTGTTTCTTGTATTGTTATATCTAGCATTTTATTATTTTTGAATAATTAAATTTCTTGCCAATATATTTTATTGCACTATCATCTATCAAAAATATTTTCTCAAGTAAATTAAATTTTATTTCCTTCTTATCTTTTCTTTTTTTTTCTCTGCTTGTATTTCTCTTCAACCTATCAGTTCCAACTAGCTTGGTGGTCGGAAGCCGACTTAAGCAGCCGTTCTTGTTGTAAGCGTTCTAAACCTGTCCAAAAGAAGTTGAGAAGGAGATATTATTGCCGATTCTCGTCGAGTGGTCGCGCTTACATCGATATATAATTTCTTTCTCTCGACAAGAATTTATTCCGAAAGTGGAACTCGTCGTGGCAACCACAATATCGCTACTCTTATCCTTGCTTATCGATCGCGCTATCAAATCTTGACTGCAATTCTCATTGCTACAAAATTAAATTTCATGAACATTTTAAAAATATATATATGTATAGTTCCGCAATCTTTGAGATTGTAAGTGAAAAATATTCTTAAACCGATACTCTGGGAGATTTAGCAATCATCTGTTTGAAGCCGCGTATGTCGTTTATGACTGTTACTGTGATTACTGTTACTGTGTTACTGTGATTTACATTTATGACAATCTTGATAGAATTATTATTGTATAAGAAATTCTTCGTGATATCTCTCAATAGAGTCTTCAAAACTCGGAGACGAATTTCATGTATGTAAGTATTTATGTTGATTCAAGAACTGCAAGAGCAAAACAAATATTTTTATTGCGCATACAAACATTATTTAATTCTATATATTTTAAAATTCAAATTTTTTCTTCACATTTTGTATTAATTATTTTTAATTATTTTGCATTTCTCATATATATATATTAATGATTTTATATTTTAAGTTTATTATAAAAATTTAATAATTTTGTTTTCGATTATATCATTTTTACACGTTCTCTATTAATTTATTTTATTTAAATCATCCCTGTGGATTAGATTATTCCTTTTAATTGATTCATAATTTTTATTTCAACAGATCTAAATTTGTAATACTAGACATTAGTTTACGAAATTTACGAAATTGCGTGCCAATTTAGTTCCAATTTAATAAAATAGAATGTGAATTTTATACACATGTTTTTGTCATTCCATTTCTAATTGATAAAATATCTGTGTTATTTTCTGTATTATCAGACTATTATATATGGACACTATAATATTATATACACATATAAATATTTTCAGGAATATTTAGACATTAATAATTTAGCTGCAATTATAAAAAACATATTAAAATTTCGCAAAAACAATGACGTTAATTTTTGATAGTTGTGTCCTTCGATTGAAAGATTATAATATTACGCAATTTAACTCGTTTATTATTGCAACATAATGTTTTTCAATAACGTCGTGCAGCAAATATTAACATACGTATAAAAAAAGAAAACCACTTACGTAAAACAATAAATTTTATCAATATATTGTTGTATTGATAATCATGAACTAATCCTGAAAAGATTAGAAATTTTAGTATCATAAAAATTACGTTTATTACGTTCATCACGTGATTGATATAATTTAATCTTGATTTAGCTTGGATGCATTTATTTGGATTTTATTCAGGTAAATAATTTTTCTTCTTAGTGCATTGGTATCACTATAATTGTATGACTGATAATTAATTACATAACTGACTGAATATCGTTGAAAATAGTAAAGTGCAATCGACTCGGTCAAGGTATCATATCAGACATGTCAGTATGTCGCGTGTCACACACACGTAACGTCAAAAAGCATGTCACACACACGTAACGTCGGTGCTGCATTAAACTATTTGATTATCTATGACGGATATGAGTTGCGATAAAATGTTTTCTAACGCGGAATGGATATCGAATATCAGAAATCATCTGTGCAAACCGCTTTCGAAAATAAATAGGAAGATTATGGTATCAAGGATATCACGATATAGAGATAAGAGTGGTAAATAATAAAAATGCAATAACTTTATAAGTAATTTCGTAATGATAAAATATTATAAGTATCCCTATGAATTTTGCATTCTCTTTTTAACATACAGATAAATTTAAATTAAAGTTGAAAAAAAGAACTGCGTGCAAAATTCTGTTTCAAATTAATATTAAAATCAATGTATCTTGTCACATGCCATTTTATTTGTATTAAACACGTTAAATAATGCTAAATAAATTTCAAAAAATATTTTTTTAAATAATTTATTTTGTAGTATATGTTGTATTATAAGAATTGCATAGCGATATATGTGAAACGTGCATTACACGTGCGTTACAAAGATAAAAAAATATTTGCAATGTAAAACTATGCCGATAAAAAATATAATTTCTTCATCGTGAATTCTTTTGCTCAATTTGAATTTTTATTCGAAAATTGAATGTACTTATATATATACTTGTATGTACTTGTATATATGACAAAACAACGCGAAAAGACTACAGCAAAAATATTTTTAATAAATGATATCTTTTTGGAGAAGTCTAACGCTTTCATTTTGTATATTCCAGCGTTTGCAAAAATATATGTATTTCTTATTAGAAATATATGTATTTCTATCAATTCACGTTCACGTTTTATGGTACAATTTATGATATTTTATAATGAAGTGTATAAGTGTATAAGTAAAATGTCGCTTCTAAAAACAAGGAATTGATCACGTGAAAAATTTCACGCGTAAATAACAATGTATATTTTGAAGTATTTTTAGTTATATAGAAATATTTATCTCCATAAAATAGTGACTCATTATTTATTTATACGTACGTTATTTGTGCTCATTCAAATTAAAAAAACTAAATAGAACAAAATAAAACATAAAATTCAACAAATAAAACATATGTGTTGTGTGGATCCTCTCTTTTTAAAGTGTCAATTTGTACATAATTATGCGATAACATCGACTTTATATAAATAAATATAGAAAATGCATTTAACTTGATGGTTAATAGTACTAGATGTGAAAATAATCGTTAAAAATGATCTTGTTGTAATACTTTAATATAAGAATTCATGTAAACTTAGCAAATAATATTCTTATACGACATAATAAATCTGTGAATTAATTTCTAATTATTATAATTTTAATTATTAAAATATATATAAATATATAGTATATTTTTTTTCGAATTATATATAATGTATTATATAAAAATATCCTAAACGCGGAAAATTAGAAGCAATTTTGTTAAAATGCTAATTTACTAATAATTTATTATCTAATTTGCAATTTTAATTGTTTTGCTCATGCTGATCTTTTTATTAATAGCTCGCTAGTCGCATCAGTGCTGTTTGGTTGTCCGAAGGATCCGCTCACGCAGAAATACACAAACGAATGAAGAAGTCATTTACAAGAAATATTTGAATTAATTGGCGAGGTAATTTTCGATTTATCTGTTTCTCAAATTTTCAGTCAAATCGAGTGATTCTAAAATTGCAAAAAAAATTAAATTGATTTAATATCTAGAGATAGTTTTCGAGAATATGTTTTCATTGAAATTTATCAACAATTATAAATAATGAGAGGAGAGATTTACTAATATATATATAATAGAAAAAAAATCGAAGAATATCATTGAAGAAATCAAAGAGAGTAAATATATAAATATTTAGAATATTTAGAATTTTATTTATTTTATTTATTTCATTTACGAGCGAATAGAAAAGCATTGAATTTGTCGCTTTATGAATTATTTCATTAGTAAAGCTGATTAATTACTGACGATTACAAAAAATTAGATTCATCACTGTAAGATCAATCAAGACCATACTTTTTAATTGTAAAATTACTCTCTTTTTCATGATAAACAAAACAATAATAGACTGTGATCTTTATTAAGATTTTATATAATTTATTACATATAAAAAGACTAGTAAAAGAGATTTGCAAGAACGTTATATGCAGAGTTCATATATTTTTAATTATTCTTTTCTTACAACAAAAACATTGAATTTGATATTTAATTTTATTTTCGCGAATGATTTATTGCTTGCAATGACAAGTCAACATCAATCATTTTTCAATTCAGTTGAAAACAAGAGCCAGCTGTTAAACGTAGCAATTATTTTCTCGTCTCTTAGAAGTTCCTCAAACACTGTTCAATCCATTGTAGAAGTGCTCAAAACGGAGAAGTAGCTGCGTAATTGCAGCCGTATGGGAGAAATAGAATGCGAAGTAATATTTTCAAGGAAAACAAAGGATATAAAAAATTAGAAAATAAGAAAGAGTTAGATTTATAGGAGAAAAGGAGAGAGAAAGACAGGCCAAACCTATAACATAGCGCATGCTTCGTTTACATTCGAGGTAGGAATAAAAGTAAGAACAGGAACAGCTAGTTAAACAGCAAGAAGAGAGAATATAGAGATAGAGAAAAAAATAGAAAAAAGAGAAAGCAACAGAAGAAAGAGAAAAGTATAATTTCTTTTTTTTCGAGATTGATCTTTTCAAGATGAATAAGGACAAACCGAGCAACTTAGATGTAGCTGAGAATATCTTTGAAGAGGCTACTGCGAAGAAGACACAATGGCGTAATCTCTTGGCCTTCTGGATTTTGGGATTGTGCAACAATTATGGCTACGTCGTGATGCTCAGCGCTGCCCACGATATCCTTGATATCAAGTTCAGTGACAAGGTGAGTATAATCCTCCGCGATCTTCAAACTTCTTGCTTGTCTGAAGTAAATAAGATAAATTAAGGTTTATTGTTAAATTGAGGAAATGTTGAACGTAACTTACATTAAATTATGTCGAAATGAAATTACATTATATCAAATTTTTTTGTATCCTATAATTGAATTAGAATAGAAAATATTAAAAAATAATTAAATGAAAAAATATTTTTAATTAAACTAAAATGAAATTATTAAAATGAAATTGTTTAAAATATCTTTTGGAATGTAATCTCTTGTGTGTATGCCTAATATACGAAATAATTATATTAAAAAGATAAAGGGAAGTATTACTCCCAAAAGAAATAATTAGATTAATTGCATTGGTGAAAGTTATTCGATTCTTTTAAATTCCGGTAAAATTAAGATTTATGAAAAAGTTTTGCAATATTTTTATTTGAAATTCAAACAAATTGGACAAAAGTTAACGGAGACTTAAGGGTTATTTTGCGTGGGTGAATCATATTGTTATCCATGGATGAACCATATTGTTATCCGTTTCAGATAACAATAGTGCTCGTGTGACTGACAATATCAGATTTGCCTTGGCATATGGCATGAGAGAGATAACCACACATACATATATGAATGATATGCCTGATAAGTGATATATCGCTATTTACAAGCTAATGAGAAAATAATAAGAAAATAATATGTTATTTACAAGCTAATAAGAAAATAATTATTTGTGATAAATTCTTGAAATGTAATTTTTTGGTTTTATAATTCAAAGTCTCTTTTCCATTTCTTTTGGAAATATTTTTATCTATCATTTTAATAAAAATTTAATACAATTAGTATTCTTACAATAAATATATATATAAATCATAAAGCCTTTTAAATAAACTTTTATGCTAATAATTTTATTACATCAAGCATAAATACATACATTTCTTTTAGAACCATTTTATATCTTTTAATTTAAAAATCTATCCGATAACTGCGATAAATAATATCCGAAAATATATTAATAAGATCTACGAAAACTATTTTCAACTATTATCAATTGAATTTATTCATCGATAGATTACAAAATTGCTAATCCAAATTTGACAATATGATGCATGCAAATATATTAAAAAAGTTATTGTTCTTTTTCTTGTTTTGAAATAGTACATTTTAGATATTTTTGTGACGATTAATAAACCGTAACATTAATTTAAAATTAAATAGGAAACATTTTAAATAGGAACATTTTAATTGGAATAAATCTCAAGCAGTTGTGCAAAAGTAACTAAATTGATACAGGTATGATAGAGAATTGATGTGTCAATTAAAATGTCAATTGATGGTTTCCTAGTGTAAATTAAAATGTCAATTGATGTGCTTCTAACTTTCACGTATGTCGATTAAGTCTTTGTTGACTTAAGATATTAATTTGATTAGCAATTAAATAAATATCCGGAAAATTTTCTAATGACGATATTAAAATGATATTAGAGAATAAAATTCCTTTTAAACTGACTATAGGAATCTGTGTCATAAATCAACTTATAAACATTCACGCGCTAAAGATAATACGTGACGATACATTTGGCATCATATCAATTATTCATTGGTCTTATATGAAAAAAATTGTCGCGATTTATCATTAGTATCAATTGACCTCTTCCAGTGAGAAGAAACAATTCAGTAGCATGAGAACATTATTGTTCAATGCATATTCAATGCGTTATTTTAATGTGTTTGATTGATGCATAAATTACAATCAGAATTAATCTAGGATGATCAAAATATTTACAAAATGACAAATGAATATTTCAGCATATATTGTACATATATTATTTATTGAGAAATAATATAATTATATAAAAACTTTTGTCATATATAAAATAAAATAAAGCACTAAAAATAATTAAGTTAATGAAAAGAGATTTTAAATACATTAAATATTATAAAAAAGGAACATATTAAAAAAAAAGAAAAAATGTGTGAGATTTGTAAAACATGTCGCTATTAAATTTGGACATGGAAGAGAATTTTTTATTTTGAACAGGATTATCTGCGACTGAATTGTTAATGTTCTCTGTTTTTTTCTAGGATAATTCTACGTTAAATACAAATGGCACGAATATGACAGGAATTCGCATGTGTAACACAGTTTCGACCGGCGCCATACTTTTGGCAGATATTCTGCCATCATTGGCAATTAAGATGATAGCACCGTTTCTGCCGTTTCTAGTGCAGTGAGTATTTACAAATATGTTTCTCTCTTTTATTTTAGTCGCCACAAAGTGAACATTGCAGATGAATAATTCGCGCAAGATATAGGTTTTATTTTTATTAGCGATTGATTGGAATAAGAATAACGAAAGCGTAACTTATTTTTGTTTTATAAAAATTTATATTATTCTACTTTGGATCCTATGCGCGATTTTCTTATATTACATAATTTCCCATTCACATAAATATTCAAATATCAATACTTTTTAAAAATTAGGCCAAATTCTTGTCTGAAGATAAGACACATATATACATGCATACATTTGCAAAGATTCCATTGGCCTGCATGCTTTATGCAATAATGTGATAATTGGCGAGATTATAATTTGATGAATAGATAATGTTCCGAGATTAATTTGCATCGTTACGATAAGATGCTCTTTCAAAGATGACATATGCATTCTTCATAACAGTATCCTAAAATAAAATAATAATAAATAATATTAAAAGCAATGAAAAATGGTAACAATTATATCATGATTATGTAGCAAGATATTGTAGTAAGAATTAATACGTTTTTATTTCTTATACATTTTATATTTGTATATAATATAATACTTATAACTATAATTTCTAGTAATATATGATTTTATTAGCTGCAATAATATTTCAATATTTTTATAATTTATTAGATATATTAATAATAATTTTATTTTTTATTACATATATATCGATTATATGATGTAAACAAAAAAAATATAAATCTATACGATTTAAAGAATTATTATTAAATTATTATTAAATCCAATATTAATCTACATAAACATAATTCAATCATTTTTGTTTTTTACTATCTCTTCTTGGACAAGAAACTTAGAACATTATATAAGACATTTTCGCAATTGTTCAAGCAATAAGGACCTAATCATCAGTTGAAATGCTAATCAATTAATCGATTCGTTGATTACAGTGCTCGACTGGCTACCTGTGTGTTATTTTCCGCTGCAGGATTTCTCATGGTGTCGTTGAGTACTGTTGAATGGTTAGCTCTTCTGGGTGTCGTCATAACATCGCTTTCCTCCGGCTTGGGTGAGGCTACCTTGCTCGGGTACAGTAATCAGTTCTCCAAGTAAGTATGCAAATCACTCGCTTATAATTTTGCAATGATGTATGTCTTTGGTTTATTATTATTATTCGTTATTCTATATATCGGAAATTGATTACAGAATTCAATAAAAAAAATACTAATAGTAATAGTACTATTTTTTGCAGCTTTTTTAACACTGAATATGATTTCGAGCTTTACATCACTTTATTAAAAAAATATAACAGTTTTTTTAGACATTCTAAAATATTATGTTAATTTTTTTTATTATGTTAATTTTTGCTTTTTGGGAAAAAGAAAGATATGAAAAATGAAAAGCGTTAAGTTCAGATTTTGAGAATATATTTTTAAAATCTAAGGTCTAAGATCTAAGATCTAAATTATCTCTTGTAAGACATTTAAAATTCTAAAGCAACGTGTTTGAGAGATTATCATCTGCTGTGATGATGAGTAGATTTACGTGATACTAAAAAACGCAATATTTAGACAGTTGTGACAGAAAAATAGTGATAAGATAATGTAAATCGGTCTCTTAATGTGTACATGAAAATGTAATAAACTGTCATATCATGAGCGATTGCTACGGAAAATTAAGATGAGATGAGCAAGTGTAAAATTTTATTGTCCAGACACTTTGTAGATTTATCTAATCCCAGTGTGACTGATACAAAAAATAACATATATGAATATTATTAATAATAAGTAATTTACTATTAATAATAAGTAATCACTAATAATTTTCTTGTAAAACGTAAGGAAAGAGAAAAAATATTAATCTTAAAATTTTTTAGGACTAATCTATTGAATAATTAAAACTAATCTTATTATCATAAATATATATATATATATATATATATATATATATATATATATATACAGGGTGTCAATTTTCGACGAAATAAAGAAGTAGATTGGCTCAAATTAAGAAGGAATGACCTGTATTGTTTTGAGATTGTCGCAATAATTAACGAAATATTAAATAAAGAAGATCGGCCAATCTGCGTGAGTGGAAGCGCGCGGCGACGAGAGTCGTCCCACTGTAATCCGATACTACGAGCGCGACGAATCGGTGGACGGGTCGCTCTTCGAGACACGATGGTGGTTTGCGATATATCGAAATACCGCGCCGAAAAATGACCCGTCCTTTTAGTGGCGAGAAAATGATGCGCTATCATTTCCACACCACCTTGCGGTAGATAGCATGGTGCGCTTTTTTTATAGTGGTTTCCCCCATAGGCCTATTCCACTCTCAATTTGAAAATTATTCAAAATGCCATTACTATACGCTGAATATATCGTAAATGTAAAAAATTAATGGTGACAGTACCTTTACAAAAATTGATCCGTGGTTGAAAATTCCTCGATAAAATGTATTGCACACGTTGATAATGATACGATGATAAAATGCTTCAAGAATTCTTTCTTCATCTCGTACACGAAGGCGCACTGCTGGACCGGATATCCCGATATTATGCACGACACCCAGTTTCACATCATTATTACACGTAAAATTGTACGGTCACTTGATTTTCGTGCACGCCCGAGAAATGATTCCATGTAAATTGCGGCCGCACGATAAGTATTTTCTCCCGCTAGTCCGTATGCCACAATCATATCCGTATATTCCTGCAGAGTACACTTCATTTTCTTTGTTAATTTATTACGCAAACACAAGATTTTTATTAAAACATCTTAGCTCTCGCACGCTGTTACCAGACTGCGTACGCCAGCAGCACGCAACTACAGCTGACAGCTGAGCGAACATGTGAATGAAAGCGTAGTGTGAGTTCGACGCCTGCGCATTATGATTACACTCACAGTCCGCTCAGCTGTCAGCTGTAGTTGCGTACTGCTAGCGTACGCAGTCTGGTAACAACGTGCGAGAGCTAAGACGTTTTAATAAAAATCTTGTGTTTGCGTAGTAAATTAACAGTGAAAATGAAGTGTACTCTGCAGGAATATATGATTGTGGCATACGGACAAGCAGGAGAAAATACTTATCGTGCGGCCGCAATTTACATTGAATCATTTCTCGGGCATGCACGAAAACCAAGTAGCCGTACAATTTTATGTGTAATAATTATGTGAAACTGGGTGTCATATATAATATCGGGATATCCGGTCCAGCAGTGCGCCTTCGTGTACGAGATGAAGAAAGGATTCTTGAAGCATTTTATCATCGTATCATTATCAACGTGTGCAATACATTTTATCGAGGAATTTTCAACCACGGATCAATTTTTGTAAAGGTACTGTCACCATTAATTTTTTACATTTACGATATATTCAGCGTATAGTAATGGCATTTTGAATAATTTTCAAATTGAGAGTGGAATAGGCCTATGGGGGAAACCACTATAAAAAAAGCGCACCATGCTATCTACCGCAAGGTGGTGTGGAAATGATAGCGCATCATTTTCTCGCCACTAAAAGGACGGGTCATTTTTCGGCGCGGTATTTCGATATATCGCAAACCACCATCGTGTCTCGGAAAGCGACCCGTCCACTGATTCGTCGCGCTCGTAGTATCGGATTACAGTGGGACGACTCTTGTCGCCGCGCGCTTCCACTCACGCAGATTGGCCGATCTTCTTTATTTAATATTTCGTTAATTATTGCGACAATCTCAAATCAATACAGGTCATTCCTTTTTAATTCGAGCCAATCTACTTCTTTATTTCGTTAAAGTCGAAAATTGACGACCCTGTATAAATATTACACTTAAGTGTGAGTCCAAGAATCAGATTTCGGATATTCACTGTAAGTCAGCCGTTCCTCGGGCGATCGGGACGAGATTTAAACGGTAGTGCCGCGAAATGGTGTAGAATTTTATGCAAAAAGAACGAAATCGCTATCATGTCCGGAAGTCGAGTTATAAATTGGCCGTTTTTCGTCTGCGCGCGGACGGTCGAAATCGTGCACGACGCCGCGTATGTTGCCTGCCTCTCTCGCGCGATATTCACTGTAACGCGGCGAGTAAAATGGCAAGCCGAATGCAATCGTTCGATTAATTGATTAAATACTTATATATATCGAACGAAAAGATGAATCGGAATGCAATCGTTCGATTAATTAATTAAATATTTATATATAGCGAATGAAAAGATGAATCGGAATGCATTCGTTCGATTAATTCGTTAAATATTTATATATATAAATATTAAATACTTATATATATCGAACGAAAAGATAAATCGGAATGCAATCGTTCGATTAATTAATTAAATATTTATATATATCGAATAAAAAACCGAGTCGGAATGCAATCAGTCGAATAGTGAATTAAATATTTATATATACCAAACGAAAAGATGCGCCCATCGCTTCGCCGCGCTCGTAGTATCGGATTACAGTGGGACGACTCTCGTCGCCGCGCGCTTCTACTCACGCAGATTGGCCGATCTTCTTTATTTAATATTTCGTTAATTATTGCGACAATCCCAAAACAGGTCATTCCTTCTTAATTTGAGCCAATCTACTTCTTTATTTCATCGAAAATTGACGGACACTCTGTATATATATTTATTTATTATATACATAAATTTACACACAATATCAAATAATTTAATATTAAGAATTTGCAAAAATTATATTCTGTAAATATAATGTTAATTCAACATAATATTAATCTTATCCTATATTTTTTTCGATTTCTTAGCTGTCTGATTAATTTGAAATGTAAATTAAATTTTCTTGCAGACAGGTGATCTCGACATGGTCATCGGGAACTGGTGGCGCCGGAGTGATCGGTGCTTTATCTTACGCTAGTCTCGCTACTGTATTGTCTGTCGAGAATACATTGTTGGTCATGTTAATTGTGCCACTTTTACAAGGGATCACGTTCTGGTGTGTCCTCAAACATCCGGTGCATACCAAAATATCAATCAATGGTGTCGAGAATCAAGAGCAGATCATCAAGGTCCCCGAGAAAAGCATTAGGGACAAATTCAAGTTGATACCTGGCTTGCTAAAGTACATGATACCTCTCGGATTGGTTTACCTTTTCGAATATTTCATCAATCAAGGCCTGGTATACTTTTATCGATTGATTTTTAGTATATTTTTATCAACCGATAGAATAACGTATTTGATTGTTTCAATTAAATTTACTTATATTACAAATATTTCTTTTTATGAAAAAACAAATTATAATTTTTTAGAAAAAAATACAATAGAAGCTTTTAAAAAATGATTTTTGTAGCATCTATCATATTCATAGATTAGTTTAAAAATTATAAAGAAAAATCTGTATCAATCAATCCCTGTTTTTCCTAAAATGAGCGATATTTTACAGTACGAGCTCATCGAATTCGATAACATTTGGTTGACACAACACGAACAATACAGATGGCTTCAAGTAGATTATCAGATAGGTGTATTTATATCGAGATCATCGGTAAATGTAGTTACGATTAACAAAATTTGGATCATGTCCGTGTTTCAGGTAATTATATATTCAAGAACAAAAATACGAATTATACATCGAGTCAAAATTCATTTAAAAATTGATTATTCCTTTCAGCTCATTAATGTCATAATTCTCCTCTTTGAGACTCTTTTCTATTATATACCAAATATATGGATCGTTTTCGCCCTTGTATTGTGGGAAGGTCTACTTGGTGGCGGAGCGTACGTGAATACTTTCTTCCGGATATCCACTGAGGTAATAAGGCTATCGTAAAAAAAATTAAATTAAATTATACTAATAATGTAAGATTAAAAATATAAAAGTTAAGTCTGTTGAATATTTCTAGAGAGAATTCACGTTTTAAGGGAATGAAAAATATCTTATCACATTCTCTATCTGGTAATTAATTTTTTATTATTGTGTAAAATTAATTTTGTCGCAGATTCCAAAAACGGATCGTGAGACCTCTTTGGAGATCGCGACGATGTCGGACGCGATCGGAATCGCGTTAGCCGGTTGGCTATCCATGCCAGTCCACAATGCCATTTGCAAACTACCACAGCCGAAAAGATTAGGTAGTTAAAAATACTGCGAATATTTTTTTTCGTGCATCACGAAGTACTAACAAAGTTCTTGCATGCGGAAACTTTTGCTTTCGGAAGTTCCTCGATGCGATAAATTGGTGTTTACTGTGCCAAAGATACGAATCGTATCTTATAAGCATTTAATAATTGAATGTAAATGAAATCATGTGATTAATTTTTCGAATCACAAGAAGTATAGGTTTGACGATTTTATAATACGAGCGTTCAGGAAGTGTACGAAATTTTGAAAACTAGTTTTAGAAAAGAAAATATCCCAGGATACATGAATTTTCTCATCGTCGTTTGTGTAAAAAAATTAAAATATTAATTAATATGAAATTTAAATATTTTATAAATATTTATAAAAGCAGTATTATCTCTTTTTCTAGATTTTCTAAAAGAAATTTCTAAAACAACGATCGTGTAGCTTAGATTCTTTAGATTCATTCATGATTTTTGATTCATATAATACAAGCAGTTTTGATTACAAACATCTCCGAATTTTATTTCATACAAATGCTTAAAAGACTAGGAACAGGGCATATATTGTACGACATGCTCATATTATAATACATTATATGACGACATAGCACGTGACAAACTTGAAACACGTGATATTAGGAATACTATCTGTATTTCTTTTTTTTGCGAAAAGAAATTTTGTTAAAAGAAAATTTTTTCGAAATAACATATATTCAGATCTCTACGCATTGTACTGTAGTAATCTATTTATTTTTTACGATACTTGTCTAAATTTTAAATTGTTCTGCATTGCTACTTTTTTATGATAATATATCTAAATCTTTTGATTTGTTTTTCTTCGATTATTGTGATTTGTCTTTTATATATAAATAAATTTGGAAACTACTAAAACCTAAGATTTTTTAATTTTTTACATCATAATATTCCGGCAACGATAAATTTATCTCATTCGTATTTTAAGATTATATATCAGTATCAATTTCATTCGAAAAGAAATACATTATCTCATAGTGTTAAAATACATACTATACAATAATGAATTGACTTTATTAAATTATAAATTGTCTAATAACGCATTATGTCGTTTCCATTTAATCGCCATTAAATATAACGATTACTAGTTAAAACTATCACGTTTTTATTTTTTGATATATTGTTTGTATTCTACACATTTTGATTAAAAAGTTGTAACTAAATAATATAATTTTTACGTAGCTATTAGTAAAATTGATACAATTCGAGAAAGCAACAGTTCAATATTTTTGCATTTTATGAAGCTGCAATTGTTTAAATAATCTCAATAATAACATGTGCAATATATTGTTAATATTTCATTTACATTATGCAAAAATATAAATAAAAATTAAAATAGATGAGATAAATTTTATATTGTAAAAATAATTTTAAAAATATGTAAACTTTTAAAAATTCAGAACGACTTGAGAACTAAGAGATTTCCGATTGCTATACATGAAATTTTGAGTTGCCTCCTCGAAATACATTGTTATCATGCATTTATAAGCGTTCTTTAATCATTTCTCAATTCAAGAAATATTTTTTCTTTTCATATCAAAATACCTACCTAATCCATCCTCTTAATATTATAATATCGTTATCTTAATATCAATTTTTATATTTAATAGGATATAAATAGCGATTACGTGATGCTAGAAATATTACGTTTACTAATTGTAAGTTATAATAATATCGCTTTCTTTAGGACAACTTAGGCTGAAAATATTCACGATAACAGATGTTACTATTGTCTCGATGTAAAGCGAGTATTTTACTCTCACAATGAAATAAATAAATATGTCTAATTACGATCTATTACAAAATAGCCCACATCGCGTACATCCATTTATGTTTGCGAGATGACTTTGACGAGAAAAGTTCGATCGTTTTCTTTTAAAATATATGATATACATGGAAGATTCTTGGAGCAATTAGGAACTGTATCCTTATAAGCCGCGCACGTTTTTCATATTTATACTTCCCTATCTAACACTAAAGGCGTCTAAAAGCGAGTTGTCGATTAAACATTGCTTTTACACAAAGTGTTTCCGATTAATCGCACTTTCTCTGTAATCGTAAGAATTGCTCCGAAATGCATTCTATAAAAAATTTTTACGTAAAAAATTATTCCACGAGAAAAATTCTCATATTATTTATTTTTTGTAAAACCCTTAAATTCTTAGGCGCTTCAGCATGCATTTGATAGTTGCTCACGAGGACGACTTACGTTACAACGTCGCCATTATATTGATTGTTATGTAAAGCTTTTAAAATAAGATTTATTTGATCTGTATCTGATTGAATTAAAAATAGTGAAATTTTCCTTCGTTATATTATTATGTACGTAATAAAATGAAATTAATATATTTCTGATATATTAATTTTATCTTATTAAGTATCAATATCTAATAATTACCCAAATAAAACTAACATAAAACAAGAATAAAATTAATATAAAAATAAGAATACTGCTAACATCTAAATGACATGCACGAATTTTTTGTTCAAATATATTCAAACAGATCCAAAGTAAAAAATAATTAATTTGAAAAATTTGAGCTTTTATTTCAAGTTTCGTTAGTTTCTCCTTTACTGAATTATGCGCATCTTTCTAAAATGAGCTTGCCTGATTCTTCGTACTCTTGACGTGATAACCACATTTGCTGGAATGAGCCCAAAGAGCTGAGGATCGAACCACCAATCCAGGCACCATAACGACGCTCGCTCGAGCTGTTCGCGCTAATTATTTTCAGTCTCATACTCTACAAATCAAAGTCGAATAATTGTAAAGAAAATTTGAAATTAAAACTCGACAATATAATAAGCACTAAGGTTACGAGAAGCAAGCTTACCGGTGGGGTCTTGCTGGCCAAATCTCGATTCAATCTCTCGCTGAAACCCTGAAGACACGAGTTGCCACCGGTCACAACTACGCTGCCATACAAGCTCTACAACATGGACATTTTCTTGTAAAATAATATTAATCGACAATTTTTTCTCTATCATAAAATAGACTACAGGTCTTAGAAGGATTTAATTTGACCGAAGCAGGACATTTTGTACGATATAAATTTAAGAGTACATACAGGTCTGATGTCCATGTCGCACATCCCGACACTGGTGGTGACGAGAGGACCGACTCCCAAGATACTCGCACCTACGCCCTTAACATTGCTGGGATCGAAAAGGGCCTCGGGTATCATAAGCCTCACGGATCCGAAATCGTCGTTGTATCCGGTCGGAAATTCAAAATGCTTCATGGGCAGAGTATTCGCCACGTCTTCATCGTACGGACTGTCCGATACTTGCAGACAGTTCATTTGAAAGTCCTGCAGCACTTCTCGAACCATGTAGCTTAGCCAAGAAGACGTCGGTTGAGGTCCGGCTCGTCTCGTCCAACGTGGTGGGTCTCTCTCTCGCACTACGTCTAAAAGAAACGTATGAATTTGTAAGTAAAAATTTGCATAATCCAAATTCTTTTCTAATCTCAATTATCAAGAAAATCGATTAGAGATGTTAAGTATAGCTATTGTAATCCTTTAGATATATGAAATCTAAATAATGCAAATGGTGAAAGTTTTTGCACATCATTTGCAATATTGTATCATCTTTTCACAATCTCTTACAAGTTCTATTAACTAATTAAATTTTTTACATGATTCGTCTCACCCTATGATTCGTCAGGTATTTACCTTTGCTAGCGACGAGACAAGCCGGTAGCAATTCGATGTCCTTCTCCTCGAAGAATTGTCTACATTGCATGGTGATAAAGTCGCCGCCTAATGGACTTTTGACAATTCCTTGGGTGATAACGTAACCGTCATGAACCGGTACCGCGCTGGTATGTGTGGCACCGCTATCCACGACCATCGCCGTGGACCTGCCGTTGGCGTATGCAGCTAGCACAGCGTTCTTGCAGATGTACATGGCCGGTACATTGAATTTTTCGAACATCAGCTCCAGCAACTTCTCACGCTTCAGTCTGGTGTTCCATGGACACTCGGTCATCAAGATCGGATGATGTTCTGCTAAGGCATGTAGTCGTTGCTTGTACGTGTATTCCGTGAGTCGTTCAAACATGTCCCAGTCTTCAATCATGCCGTCTTTCATTAAACTCACTATCTCCATATCTAAAAAGATCAGACACATTTCAATATTATTGAATAATTTAATATTAAGCTAGGAATATTAAGAATTTGTTGAAAATAATATTGTTATATATTTAAATTATAGATTATTATATCATTATCAGCTGACACATTATAATAAAAAAATTGTTTTACAAAAAATATTTCAAATAAAAATTGCTTGATTTCGATAGGGATTTTATGATCAGCAGGATTTTATTCTAAATGGAGATGTTTCTACAGCTACTTTTTTAAATAGAATTATATTGCTGTAGATAAATTGATTCTCTTTTATTATGATACATGTGAAATTATTGAGATAGAATCATCAAAAAATTTCTAAAAATATTTTTTATATTTATTTTGATATTTTATGACATAAGCCATGAAATATCTTGTCAATTTTATTCATTATTTTGTTGGAACATACATTTTCAGAAAATACTTAATAAAATTGATTAATGAGCTTGATATAAATGCAACATTGCATTTGCAAGGAGCAATTGCATATCTTTTTTTAAATATACAAATTTTATAAATATAATAAATTTTATAAATATACAATATTTTTTAAATTCAATATTTTTAAATATCAATCAATTTAACTAATTATTTGCGTATAATATAGAATGATAAAAAGAATTAATTTATGCAGGAAAAAAACATAATTTTATTAAAAGAACAGAAATAAAATCCCTCGAGCGTTTTGTTTCCTGAAACAAAATCAAGCTGATCACAGGGGGTTTTTCTCGAAATCAAATATTTTCTGAAACATATTTGTCAACAAAACACTTATTTTAGGAGCGTAGCAATTTCTGGTAATTCATCCGGTATACATATATAGGAGGAGAAAATATAAATCCGCGTTTATATCTCGTTATGACATAATGTACGAAAATAACGCACCCTTTTTTCGCACTTGGATAGCCGTGACGTCGATGTTGTAGTGTTTCCTGGTGACATTGTTGCAGTCGATCCCGCCGGGATCCGCGGGTTCCTCCCACACCCCGAGGGTCGTCGGGATCTCGGCCTTCGGCGTGTCCTCGCCGCCATATCCCACGCGGAGGCTCTGGTGTCCGACGTCGAAGATGATAGCGCCTACCTCGTCTAGCGTAACAATCGAGAGTGACTACACGGGATTGTCATGGGTATAAATATGTTCGCTTTTTAATCGGGGAAATAATTATGGAGAGCGCGGCCGTACTTACCACCGCCGTAGACACCACCGCTCATAGTATCTGAAGGGAGAGGAAGCTCGCGCATGCCTAGATGGGATCTTTCCACATAAACACACGCATACTCATGCGAAATGCGAATCGAGAGGATTGCGCGGCTGCTCCCAGGACTAATCGATCGTCGCTTGTAACGGTTAATGATTTTAATTTAATCTTACAAAATAAAGAGAAAATAAACATGAGATAATGAGATGCGATAGCAAGGCAGCAATTTTCCTGCGTGTATCTTTGCAGAGACAATCTTATATAACGTAAATAATTATAAGAATTTATAATGTTATTTATAATGTTACGTGGTATGAATAAGAGAGTTTTAATTTCTCTTTCGAGTAATTATTTTTATTTTTACATAAGAGCAATATTAATGATATCATTACTGAATTATTATCAATTAAATCCATGGAATCCGATTAAATATTTAATAACGTGCATTTTTTCTAGAATATTTTGAAAAACATATTTAAAAGAGCTACTTCGTCATCTTGTTCTTTTATATCAATTTATTTTCTGCAGAAAATGGACTCGACTTATAGTGAAAAAATTTTAGAGATACGCACAGGAGGTAAATAAATACGAGAGACAAGCACATTTTCCAATATGGAATTAGTGTTGTATATTTTACAAAGTAAATAGAATATAAACAATCTAAAGTCGTCTAAAACACAATAGTATGAATTTCGTGATAAATCATTTCGTGTGTCGTAAAGATAGACGATATATCATCAACAGGGCGACTCCTCTCGCTTTCCTCCACCTCGCGCGCCGGATGAATCGGCAACCGGAAATAACGGGGGTGAGCGCGAACAACTTGACGGCTGACTGGAAAAATCATCCTCACCCGGCCGAGCATGAACGATGACCCAATCAACCAACGGGGGATGAAGCGTCGGTCAAACTGATTCGATGGCAACATATAGTATCACGGAGGCTGCGTTTGCGGTGATGACACGCACTCTCTCTTTTTTTCTTGCGTAACTCAATCTAATTTTTTTGACATCATCATCATCATCATCGGGGTCCGTCGATCGTTAATCGACGCACGCTGGTATCGCGCGTCGTTACGCGTTTTTTCTTTCTCCTCCTCTTCGTTTCTTCTTTCGTCTGACGGGAGAGGGTCCGGGGTGTCGCGGATGTGACGTGGACGATTCGTGTTGAGCGAGGTACAGCGGGTACAGTAGTGATAGACAGTTTACAGACATTATGTTTTCGTTTGTTACGTTTAACGCTACGTGCGAGATAACTCGTCTACTAAGGCTAGGTTTACGCTTGACACTTATCGACACACCTGACTTTGACAGTTCTCTTTCCATTAATATTATATAACTCTTTCTCTTGATTCTTGCGTGAGATTTATACCATAGACACGCCTGCGAGTGTCGCGCGATAAATGACACATGTAAACCTACTAAAATGCTTCTCAGTCTCTCGTAAGTAAGATGAAACGACACTGACGACAACGACGAACGAGCTGGCTTTATTGCATTACATTAACTTCCTCTCTTCGCTTTGAACACTTACATTCTTCGTAGGAGTGGAAGATCGATAGATGCGTTTTTTTTCATTTTATGCGGTGAATGAATTGCTCGATTGGATTGTAAATGACTGGAAGACAAAGGAAACGCTCGGAAGTCGCGTATTGCTCGCTTCGATATGCATATACAAGTTTCGCCAGACTGTTCGATAAAGTCTGGAGAAAGATTGGCGAGAGTATCTTGGTCGATTGTAAATTTTTTTCAACAGTTGGTCGTTGGTCGCTTTTTGTATACAGTAAGATGGCAGTTACCATTAGAATTTTACAGTCCAGACTGTTCGATAAAGTCTAGAAAAAGATTCGCGAGGGTATCTTGGTCGATTGTAAATTTTTTTCAACAGTCGTTGGTCGTTTTTTTGTATACAGTAAGATGGCAGTTACCATTAGAAGTTTACAATCTAATTATACAGTCGTCGCGCGTTTTCGCGTTTTCATACTTTCACTATTGTAATAATTACTGCAGGACATTGTGTATATGTGTGTGTCTTTGTACGTGTGCATCAGTGGCGAGTATTCGTGTAGAGATTGTTTCCGGAGGGAAGAAATTCGAGATGGATGCAGATTACGCCGCCATTTTAACTAACTAGGATTATTACACGAAGTGGGTTAAACGTGGCAGTTTCTGGTTTTTTTCATGTTATTCTTTTTGCGAATTGTCGTCGACATCGCCTGTATCGATATATTCCTACCACGATATAGAACAGACAACAATGTAGCCGTTCCGCTCAGCGGCACAAAACTTTGGAGGTTCCACCGAGCGGAACCAAACGGCAGCTTATATAGACTCTCTCTGTCTCTTGTTAAACTTAACTTCGTTATAATCAATCTGCCATAGGGTATGCGTGTGCTTGCCTAATCGTATTAACGCTCTTATATACTTAAATCCGATCCGAGAGAAGTAATCTCGATTGATTTTATTCCTTTCGCGGAAGCCGATGGCGGCTCTCGCGAGCCACGTGGTCGAGATGACAGAGAGACGTCATTCGGCGACGCGTTCTCGTCGATCAGGAGCAGAACTGAAGGTATACGTTGAATTTTGTTACTTGAACGGGGCCGGACGCGAGGCATCGATAAAAATTAACGAAACGACGGACCGCGGTTTACTTAGATTTTTGCGTGATTTTCTTCTCTTACATTACATCTTTTTTCTGTCTTTTTTCGTTTTCTTTTTTATTTTACGACGGTTCTCGTATATCTCATCGGAGGCTTTTACACGTATTTACACCGCGATTACAAAGTCACGGACGTTTCGTTGGGTGTTGTGGCCGCGATCAAAGTCGCACTCGGCCTCGCTTAGCTCAAACGCGTCGGAGAAGCCCGAGGGTGGGTCCAGCTTGGGGACGAACAGGTTTCCTGATCCGTCACGTTCCTGCTCCCGATTGGCATAGGAATTGCCCGACTGGTGCTTGGGATGGCCAGGCCCGGCGATTGACCCGAAGTTGGCACGGGCCTCCTCGCTGGTATGACGCGCCAGCTGTAACATCCTGAACGCAAATAGACTCCTTCATTTCGTTTCTGTGTATTTAGGGGTGATACTTAATTTATAAAAAATGATATGTCTATAGGTCTATAGGTCATTTATTTAATTATTAATTTAAGAGATATAGATTATATGAAAAATGTCCCGTAAAAATACGTAGGGGAAAAATGAAAGAAATGAATTGAATCGACTAGCGATAGAGGCTTACTTGGGTCTTCCCCTTCCAGGAAACGATTTTCTCTCAAAAATCGGTGAGGGTTCTGTAGACGTGCTAGATTCTGGTCCATGGTACAGGAAGTCTGCAAAGCAAATGTTTTCCTTGCTTCATTCTCTTACTCATCAAGCAATGAACAATAACATCACAGTGCTTTCGCGCGATGGACACCTTCATCTATTATATTGCGTAGCAAATATAACAGCCGATTTCGAATAACAAGCAAGATTCTGCAATCAAGGAAGCTAGTACATACATATCAAACGAAATTTCGCCGGGAAAACAAACAGCATGCCTCGAATTTTTGGCGTGTTCGCGATAACGACGAAATCAAAATATCTAGTAGTTAGGTCCGAAATAGCAACGGGTTTCGAAGAACAGAAGCGGAAGTTTGGGACCTTTCAGAGGTGAAATCCGCGCAGCGCAGGATCGATTCCCTAGAGAAGATGCGTCGAAAAAAAAGAACGGAGACTCCACTTCTGAATTCAGAAGCTGTCTTTTTTTTTGCTACTCTACTGCTACACTCCTGAGGAGACAGAAAAAGATAAAAAAAAGACAGAGATAGACAAACAGAGAGAAAGAGAAAGAGGTGAAAATATTGCATACTGTGGACGCGCGAGTCGGCCGCAGATGCCGAGTGGTGCGAATCGACGAGGTGATTGGAAGACTCGGTTCGGCTGCTGGTCCCGACTTCCGTGTCGCTGTCCGAGCCCAGGGTGTCGTACTCCTCCGACTCGGACTTGCCCTGACTGACCTTGTGCGCTTTGTGCAACGGCGCAGAGGACGAACGGCCTCCGCGCATCTTAGTGTACCGGTTGCAATCCGACTGCAATCAGACGGAATTGGTTTCCATGAAATAGCGCATGTCGGCGTTCAATAAGCGGGTCTCGTTTCCCCCTCGGCGATCTCTCGATCGGGATCGAGAAGCGATTCATTCAGATTTCAAAACCCGTTGTCGAAACCTGTGACCTCGTTACGTTTGATCTGACCGAGTACTAATAATTTAACCCATCGAGATTGCTGCTCGATAAGCGAGCGAAATTTGTCGCGGAAAACTCGAGAACGAATGAGAATTCACTGGTTCGAGTGATAACAGTTTTCGCATTATTTAGAATCAGAAATAATATATATATAAATTTTTTTTACACGATTTTTTTACACAAACGGGGAAAAGTAGATTTACAAATATTTGGATTAAAAAAAATAAAATTTATTTATATTACGTATTAAATATTTTATTAATATAATTTATTAAAAATTTGATTAATATATAAAATCTGTTGTAAAAATAAATTTTATTTTTTAACGAATCGAAATATTTATAAATCTCTGTTCTTTTTATATGTGTATAAAAATCGCATGTTTACCTAATTTTATAAAAGTAAATCAGTTTTTTGGTTTTAATTAACCTTTGACAGAATCGGAGATATTAATTATTGAATTAAGATCAGGTAAAAAAACACATTCCCTTTGTTTTTAATACATGAATATAAAATATTTTTTATATCATTAACTTTTCTCCACATATATAACGATGATTTATTAATTACTTGTCTATCTCTTTCAATATATATTTCTTATTCTGCTTTCTACTTAAATATATATATATGATAATGGAGGGAAATATGTTAACGAATTTTCGTCACCGTCTCTACAGAAACTCTATTCTACTTCTTTTTCACGTAGGAACCGCGAGAGCGATGCGATGAATCATGAGAGAGTTTCGTGTTACAGCTAGCAGATAGGTACGGCGAGAAATTCGGCATAGAGATGCGTAAATGGCGAATAGCGTTCGATAAGGGTCCAATGGTCTGCGCTCTAATCGATACCGCGACTCGTTTTCTCGATTCGCGAATCGTTTCAGGACAGCTGCGAAACGAAACGAGATGGGACCAGCAGTCGCAACGATGTGAAATTCGCAATGAGACGCTAATTATTACTAATTTCTTCGCGATTTTTCGTCGCTGAGAGAAAACTCTCGCATCTCCGAATTATAATATAATTACAAAAAAGAAAAAAAACAGAAAGATTCGTGCGCGCGAATTAAAATTCGCATAATTACGTCACACACGTCGCATCGATCGTGCGCGGGATGCTCGAGGAACTCTCGCACCGAGCATGCGAGTGCGAGTGACCTAAATATTCACATAGTGGCGGGTTGCTGAGGGTTGTCAATTGCATCGTGGTGCGAGGATATGGTGATTTCGGTGCTGATCGGGATACGGCATGCAACTATCGTGAGTATAACGAAGCTGGGAATATATGAAAGTGAATGATAAAAGCGTTGATTTGTAAACTCGCGTCTCTCTCCGCACGTTTAGTGTTAAAAATCTTGCGAATTAATTTATTATTTATATAATTTTTTTAATTATATATATTTAATTTATATATATTTTGAAAGAGAAATTTTCAGAATCGCAGCTTATTGTGCATATTGAAAAAGCATAGTTATATAATATTAATATAATATAATAAATATAAATATATAAATATAATATTAATATAATGAACAGGTTCATTATTCTATGCAAGTCGAGAAGTTAAATTGTAGCATAAAAATCGGAGATATACAGAAATAAAAAGACGATATAATTAAGTAAAAACGTGCGTTGAGGAGACGAGTAATTCTAATGGCGATACAAGATCGGCGGACGATACCTCTCGTAACTGAAGGGTATCGGCAGTGGAGAGACGAGGGTCGTGATAGACGAAGGTCTGAAGGGGTGCGGCAGAATTGCAGCGACTGTCGCCTCCTGCGGGAACGTTCTCCTCCAGCTGGAACGTGGCGTATGGGTAGATATCTTCCGAATATTCTACAAGCATGACGGCGATTAATCGATAGTTCTAATATGACCATCTATCTTTCTTAGACCTATTCTCTGCTCATTGATTTTGAAGAAAGAAAAGCTCGATCTCTTATCTGCTTATCTTACCTGGTATTTTTTCTAACGTAGCCATCTCGTGTATCGGCGAACGAAGCGGTTTACGTACGGTCGCGTAATATTGCTCACGCTGTTCCATGTTCTGTTTATTGTCTAAGGCGGCCGCGGTTTGAGCATCGTGTAGACTCCCGATGTCGCCCATAAAAGGACCTGAGATGAATATATTCAGTCATTTATTTTAAATATTAATCAGAATATAATTCACTATTCTTCGGACGATCTATCTTGAAACTGAATTTTATGACATTATCGATTGCAAGATTATTTTAAGTATTTTCACATTTATCTGTATTCTGTGAAAAAAAATTTTTAGCAAAAAAAAAATATCCGTGAAAAAAGATTTTTTCTCCATTTTTTGTGATTTTAAGTATTTTCACATTTTTTGTTATTTTAAGTATTTTCACATTTATCTGTATTCTGTGAAAAAGATTTTTTTATTAAAAAAATTCTGCTGTCATTTTTGTTACTTCGATTCTTTTTTTTAAAGTCTGCATATGTATGCGTTTAATTCTAACGTTTGCGGAAGCAGTAAAAGACAGCGCCGGCCGCAGCGATGACCGCGAACGAGCTTAACACCAGAGGTACGATAAGCTTCAGGTCCGAGTAGTTGTGCTGGGGAATGTAATGATCGATCTCGATGGAGGACATAGTCGTGCTAATATGCGGCTGCAATGTCGTTATCTTGTACTCGGCTACCGACGAGCCGGCGTCGTTGTGAGCCCTTATGCGGATGTCATAAGTGATTCCCGGCTGCAGTTCACTCAAAGTATACGTCTTTTGCACCTGCACGATATGTAAACAATTTTCACGTGTAATTTATGGCAATTGTATTTTAAAAGAATTAGCTCTTTAATATTAATAGCAATAATAAATGTAATGTTACAGAATATTATATTTAAACGTCATTAAAAAATTTGTGTTTCATCACCAAAGAATTTGTTTCGAATAAAGAAATTTATTATTAAAATTTGTTAAATTATTAAAATAAATTATTATATATAAAATAGATTTTTGATATATTTTTATAAATAAATTTAAAATTATTAAAATTAAAATTTTAGTAACATAATATATTTACACTAAGAAACAAATAATGTTGAACCAATAATACTAGTGTAATTGGAATTTATTTTATTTATTCAATAACATTTTTAATCAAATCAATATACCATTGATTTGATTAGTTTGATTAGTTTTATTGATTTGATTAGTAAGTGTTATTGAATTAATAAAATAAATTTCAATTACACTGATGTTGTTAATTCAACATTTTTTCAGTGTATATAAAGAGAATCAAAATGTGTCTTTGAGAGAAAAAGAAATAACTTTTCTTATACAGAAAGAGCTAAATCTTTAGCTAAATACATTTCTGGATACCTCTATATTATTCGAGACCAGCGTCCAGATATTCTCGCTGCTCTTCCTGTACTCGAGCTCGAAGAACGTTATAGGACAACCACCGTCGTTCCACGTGCTTAAATGCAGAGTAATCCAAGAGACGTTAACAGTGATAAACTTATCGCCGGTACCGGGCGATTCGTCCGGCTTCGAGCCCTTCGTGATCGCCTTGACGATCTCACTGGGTCTGCCCATACCGATACGATTGTACGCCGTCAGGTACATCTGATAATTATTGCCGCACCAGAGTCGCGACAGGACGAAGCTGCTCACTTTATGCGATACCTTGAATTCCTCCCACTCACCGGATTCGCGTTTGTAGTGCAAAATGTATCCTCGGATCGGCGAACCGCCATCGTCGCCATTTTTCCATTGCACGTTGATAGAATTGCTACTGGTACTAGTCGCGTGCAATAATGGCACCGCAGGTGGAACTGAAAGAGACAACATTGATTTAAGGATCGTGCCTTATAGGCACGTTACGATCATATGTCACAAGTTTCTCGAGAAAGAGCCGTTCTGAGATGTTCTCGTCTTTCTCAAACATGAGATAATAATGCAAAATACAAGAAAATGATAATAGTATTTTGCAAGATATTATATTAATTAAAACGCTTTTACTTTTCTCCGCTACTATTATAATTCTTTTTTTCATAAATAGTTTCATTTCATTTGATTAAGATCTTTATTTATTGACTTTTTTAATAGTTTATTTATCAAATTAGATAGAAATAAATTTCTTTTTCTCCCCTTCTCTTTCTTATTATATTTCCATTATAATAAAAATATCGTGTGTGTAATTATTTTAGAGAAATTGATACCAGCATTTACCTTGCACGGTTAGACGATGAGTTATTTGATCGGAGCCATGGCGATTCTCCACGAAGCAAGTGTAATTTCCGCTGTCCTCTCTATGGAGATCAACAATCTGCAAGGATCCATTGATATGAAGGGACACCCTAGCGGATGGCTTGACTGTCTGACCCCATTGCTTCCAGGTAATAGAGGGTTCGGGCTTGCCAACGCTTTCGCAAGGCAGCATCACGTCTTGCTTCCACGGCACGACAAGCACGGTTCCGAATGAATATATGGCGGCACGAACTGTAATAAAGTATCGAGCGAAGACCTTAGTCCTTGAGGAGAAGATAAATACGATAAACGCGATCATCCAAGTTGGTTTGTATCAACCGCAGGGCAAATTCAAGAAAATATTTCTCCTGACGGAGAAGATTTAAAGTTACTCGGAAAAGAGCTTTGCGAGAAACTTTCGAGATTGGAGGGGAAATAAAAAGCGCGCGTCTCTCATTAACAAACATAAACACTCGGTATCTCGTTACTCTACTCTACTCGGCTGTAGACAATTCACTTAGCTTGTGGAAACGGATGTTTATCCGATGGATGCAACTTTTGCAAACTACTTCAATTTACACCGAAAGGTAACTTTTGCAACTTCAAGTTTCGTGACTGGGACAAAGAGCATATTTTCGATATATCAATCGCTGTCGCATTTTTGCACAATCATCCTTATATTTTATTTTGCAATTATAAATAAAATATTATCCATTTTCAATATATCAATTGTTAATATTTTAAGATTTTGAGAGACGCACGACGAGATTTTAAAATTCGTTAACTTCACAATTAAAATAGGAGACCATTTCTTCGTATTTTATTTACCTTCGCTGGAGGGGGAGATTGTGACGGACGAGGTCTGCGCACCCTCGCCCACCGAGGTGATCGCTGCGACAGTGAATTCGTACTGGCTCCTTTTGTGCAGATCCTCGGCATGATAGCTGGTCTGATACGGTGGCAAGGCCCTCCTGTGCCATTTGCTTTCTGGCCCCAATCCTCGAATATGCACGTTGTACGCGGTGAGATTGCCGTTGCTCTTCATGGGTGGCTGCCACGAGACAATAACAGACGTGGCCGAGCTGGCAACGGCTTTGATGTTGGCCGGCGCTTCTGGCAGATCCTCCTCAGTCACACAATATAAGGGCGACGAGGTGACACCGTCGCCTGCCCTGGTAGACGCTAGGACCTGGACCGAGTAGTTCATGTACTTCTCAAGTCCGTGAATCACTACCGTCAGGGCGTTAGTGATCTTCATCTCCGGTTTGGTCGACTCTGCCAGCGCATCTGTGCTCTCCCACATGACCTTGTAACCCTTCAAGATCCCGTTCAGGCTAGAGTCAGGCGGAGAGTCCCAGGAAACTTGCAGGGACGTCGACGAGAGTGCGGTGCAACGCACGTCTTGCGGAGGACTGCTCGGAACTGGAAATATTCAAGGTTTCATGAAATCACACCACCAATCAATATCAATCACCACAAAATTTCTCACGGATCACGTTGAGAAAATCATCTATCATCAAAATTTCGATCTATCATCAAAATTTGGCATAAATCATACAAATGTGTTAATTGACTTATAAATTTACTTATAAATTCCTTAATAACTTAAGGCTTAAAGATAGGCTAAAAGATTTTAATTTGAATTATTTAATTTTATTTATTTAAAATTATATATCTCCAACAAAAAACAATGTGAAATTGTGATAAACAAGAAAGACGAGTTATAGATACTATAAAAATTAGAGACGATAATATGATAAAATGATTAGTGATAAATGATAAGATGACACAATCAAATGGAATTAATAATTCCATTCTGGGGATAGATATCTACCCCCACTCCATCTAACAGAGCATTGAGACTCGGGATTCGGGATTCCCGAGCTTCTATTCTCGATAATAACGCTCCCAATAATCTGACAATGAGTCTCGCGAATCCAGTCTCGCAGACGGGAACGAGCAGGAGTGAGAGCAGATTTGCACGCCTCTAGGAATTATAAGAGAAGATATTTATTCATTACATAGTTTGACGCTACTTGTATAACAATAAAATGGATGGTTATAATAATAGTAATGGTAAGTAATAATAATAATGGATAAAATATGTGATATAGATGTAAATTGAGAAGCATATTGTGTTTGTGTGTATAATTTGAAATTTTAAATTCTTACTGTGTCAAAATTGAACATAGTTGAGAAAACTGCGTAAAATTATAATTGAATATAATTGAAATTTAAAATTAAGATAAAAAATTTTTAATTTGAAACTAAAACTTTTAGTTGAATTATTTGAAGAACTGCTGTTGTACTATGATGAAACATAGCAGGATTGCTTTAATTGTATTAGATTAAAAAATAAGAATTATTGATAAAAAAAGTGATATGTTTTTAATAATTTAAAATATAACAGGGCTAGAAATGAAACAAAGCTTAAGGAATATCTTTATGAACTATACTGTGAAGGCATTGAAAAGAGAGTTACGAAAAAAAGAATTACTTCCGGAGGGTGATAAAGCAACACTTGTATCAAGATTAATAGATGCATATGAGAATTCTGCAGAATGTCTTACAATTTACATATTAAATGCTGAGTCAATACAACAAGAGCTCAAATCCATGAAAGAAAAACTTGATTCTATCACAAATGAAAAAAAATTGTTGCAACAAGAACTCGAATCTGTGAAACAAAAACTTAATGTTTCTACCAAACAAGAAAAGGAACTGCTGCAACAAACATTAAATATTTCGAAGCATGATTATACACCGACGCAACGAGAGAGTATATTTTCGTCTTCTGAGATTCAGCCATCATCATCGAGAGTTATTTTGTCAACTTCAAGAGACACTTGTAAACATAGAAAAATTCATGGTAAGTAAAGTTAAGGTGTTATTATTAAGTTTATGATAAAAATAGAAATGATAAAGCGAATATATCGATTATCATTAGATAACAGTCGCAAAAGCTCACGTCATCGAAGATATGAATATGAGGGAAATTATCGAGGAGAAATATCGAGACGAGAAAGGCCGTACTAATATAACAAGATTAAGCATCTATATATATTTCAAAGATTAAAAATATAGAGAAAGTGGTTGAAGATAACAATCAAATTGAATTATAAATATGAAGGCAATAACCACTGCGCCAAGATGAACGTAGCAAAAATATATTAAATTGACTTATCAGCGTGAAGTCATAATGAATCGAATAATTACATGGATGTTGATCGTAGATGTAAAAAAGCTGAAAGTTATAATCAAATTAAAAGAATATTATTATTGCAAAAAAATTGACAGACTGAAAGTCGTCATCAAAAATTCGCATAAGTAAGAAACGCTGACAGTAATAGACAATCGCACGTTTCGAACCTTTATCGGTTCATTCTCAATGTCGAATTATAAACAATTATAGAAAAAATCACAATAAAAAGTCAAGCAGTAATGTCGCAAATAAACAATAAACTTATAAAAATTGAATTGAGTCGGCACATTATGCATCCGTGTACATTCACGTGTATGATTTTTAGATAAGTTGAGTAAAAATTATGACTCTAAACTCTTGAAATATTTTTACGATTTCAATAATCTAAGAAATATGAATACGATACAACTCATAAAGTGTATCGCATTTAAAAGGTTGGCATATTCGAGAGCAACATGACTGTATGCATGGAATATTTCAAGAATGTATTCGCACGAAAAGTTAAAGGGATTCGATGCCATCGTTGAAGAAGAGGAGCCGGGGAGGGAGAGGGGGATCGAAAATATCGGAGTGCACTTGGAAGTTTCGTCGGGTCCTTGAAAGGATCCGACGAGGACAGGATTAAAGAAGTTATTCGCGCGCGCGCGGTAGCGCGCATCTGAATTTATTATTTATATCGGAAGTCGCGCGACCGCGCTGCACGAGGTCGGTATTCATGACTGGAATTTGCGATAGGCTCGCGCGAATATTATTCTATTCATGAATTCTTGAAGATGTTCGCGACGCGAAAATGGACGTCTAGACGAAAGACGTCTCTTGCCTGAACTTGCGAATAGATTATATCCAAATACGTTCATGCTCAAAATACATATCACTATTCAATTCGCGATGGAATCTATGGAGCAAGATGAGATAAAATGCATTTCGATCGCCTCATTATATAGAGTGTTACGAATTTAAATGTTAAAACTTCGAGAATATAAGAGATCGATATCTACAAGAAAAGTCATTTAAAAATATGTTTTTACTTCAGCTTAAAAAAAATCGTAAAAAAAATAAGTGTCTCTTAGGTGTTTTTTTGAATCGATTGACAACGAACTGTCGACAAATCTAATTCACTAAATGTAGAATAATTAAAACTAAGTAATTCTAGTTTTAATTATTTTACATTTAATGAGTTAAATTGATCGAAAATTCATTGTTAATTTAAGAGAACAGTTGAGCGACCGAAATAAATAAATAAAAAAAAGTTAATTTTTTTTGTTTTTTACAACCTTCTTCAAATTTTTAAGGTTTGCCTTTTTTTAAAGTTATCGATCCTGAAGTTTTGACTTAAATTCAGGACATACTGTATAGACTAAAATTAAATTTGATGTATGAATAATTTAATACCATCGATGATTTAATTTAATATAATAATTTATCCTATGTAGGTTAAAGACGGACAGGCATTTTTTGCTGTTTTATATTTCAAATAACTAACAGAGATAGGTATCGATAGTATTTTTCACAGTTACTTACCATCTTCGAGTGTCGACGCCACAACTTCCTGCGTCATTGGACCGGGACCGAGGGCGTTGAACGCTTGAACGACCACGCTGTAACGCGTGAACTTCTTCAAGTTCGTCAAGTGATGCTGTCGTCCGGGCATGGATGTTCTTGCTAAACCTAGGGCGACGCTCGCCGTCGAGATCCGTCTTTCCACGGTTTTGTATGTGTATTGCTCCGCTCCCAACCTGAATTTCGCGAAAGTGTTCGTTACACCTGACTGATGTGATTAATTAGTTTTGTTGGAAGACCATCAAGTGTCTCGTTTTAACCCCAAACTCTGGGCAAACTTTTGAAGATGAACTTGATATTAGATTATAATGAAAAAAAATGTAAAACTTATATGGATTTATGTATCTACGCGTATATACGAAAGCAAAAAAATTATGAGAGATGTAATCTTGGAAATCTACTATACCTATAATATTTTTCAGGCTATAATTCTGTTTATTTCATTATCTATTTTAATTTTAGATTATCTATAATTCGCGACACAATAAATATTTGAGACAAAATTCTATTTATTTTATTTTACTGCATAAAGTCTACTTTAGATGGTCTATAAGAAAAGTTTAAAGAAAAAGAAAAACCATTTTCCATAGTTTTTTTGATACTAAATGCGATCTCATTTTTCAAAGAAAATTAGAAAAATTTATATATACATAAATTGTGTATAATAACAATTATAATTAATTATAATTAAATTATATAATAAAATAATATAATTATAATTAAATTATCCAATTTTTTATACATTGTCTAAACTTACGTTTATTACTATTTGGCTTTTTAAGTTAATAAATCTAAAAAATTTAAAATATATAGCAATAAAAATGAAAGTTTAAATAGTGAAAAATTTGATTGATTCATATAACTAGTTTGTAATAAATACAACACGTTAAAGCGAACGTATCAAAATGCAGCCCGTAAAATGTGAAAAAAAAGTTTTTCGAGGATTTGTCAGCATTGCTCTGGGCGAATAAATAACTGACCCCGAGATAGCTCGTTTATTAATGGCGCGTGAATTCTACGATATCAGCTGCATAAACGAGATCCAGGAAGTTGCAGTTCTGACAGTTTGTATGTATGTGCACATCTATGTATGTATTAGTGAGGAAACGCAAACTCCTATCAGTCGTTAAAATAACGGCGCCGTTTTCGGTCGTTACCTGTGTTCCTTGTAGCCGACATGATAACCGAGTATCTCGCCGTTCCATAAATCATGATCGGGCGGATCCCAAGTGACGTTGAACTCGGTCGAGCTGATGGGATCCACTTTGAGATTTCGCGGCGGTCCGCCGGGCTTCTCCCCCTCCGTTGTCGTCTCTAAAATCTATAAAGAAACCAAAAAAATTCTTTGAAGGAACGCGAACATCCGCGACATTGTTAACCTTCATCACTTTCATCACCGCACTCGTTTCTTCTTATCAATTTTTGTTAAACACTTCAGAGACCTCAGTAAAAAAACACACATGAAAGAAGCATCGCGCAGACAATCGATGAATATAAAACGAATTCGGTCGAATATATCCGATATCCAGCTTCAAAGCATCGTGTCGAGTATCGCAACTTGTTTCTTTAATCGTGCGAATTCTTCCCCGCGTAAAAAAAGAGAAGCGAATCGATATGTCTGAAGAAGCAACGCGACGCAATTTAAATCCAGGTCAACGGATGCGGTCTGTCCGAGGGGTGACGGACGGAGAAAGAGATTCGTTTCGGGGCGAGAGATAGCCGCTTTTTTTCCGCACGAGAATATCGATCGAGCTCGGTCACACACCGGTGTCCCAATTGTTTTAATTCTCGGGATGAGCGAGAACGAGGCGGAGAGTCGACCGGTGGGAGGGTCGACGAATATGGGATTTGAATAAATGTAAATGTCCGACCTGGCCTACGATACCTACGTCACTCGCTTGACTCCGACCCAGTTCGTTGTCCGCGTATATCCGGAATTGGTAAGTGACAGCAGGGCGCAGGCCGCCCACGTGGCCGCGAGCACGTGTACCTGGCACTGTCGTGTGGAACGTGTGGTCGTGCCATACCTCTGGAAAATTATATGTCATCATTTTGCGAGGGTTTCATCTCTCGCTTGAGGATCAATGACCGAGAACGTCTACCACGGATAAAACTGCTACTTAAATTCTGCGCAATCAAATTTTCCGCTTTTCATGTGAGGGAAATTGTTATTAAGTTCTAAGGGTATTTTACTGTCACTTCTTTGATCAAAAATTTAAAATTAAAGCTTGTAGAATATTTCAATAATTGCATTTATTAGATTTTCTTATCAACTTATTTTTAATCTTTACTGATGTAAATCTATCGATTTTTACATAACTAATTGGTATTACTTCTTAGTATAATTAAAAAACTTTACTAGATCTTTTTATTCAAATCGATTACGAAATGAATACACTTACCTGATTCGGTTTTATACTCGATTATGTATTGAGTGATCGGACTGTTTCCATCTTGACTGGTCGTCCAGCCTAGATTGATATGGCGACTGCCTTTCTCGATTACGTGAAGATTCCGTGGGAAGTCTGGCGGTTCTGCATTCAATATTGATATAATTTTATGGTCCTCTTTTACATCGACACTAAATTTCGTAATATTAAAAAAATGTTTTCACACACGTTTTTATTATTAATATACATCCGACATTTGTTTCTCTTTCACATATTTCAAATATTTTCCAAGAATATATGTTTCATAATAATTAGTGTGTTTTACATTAATAAAAATTTGATATACAGCAAAATTCCAGCATTTAATCTGCGATTTTAAATCATATTAGCCATATCCAATTTCCACCGCATTCTCTATTTAAAACATTTCACAACGCGAAATTAGACTTCAGTAATTAGTTGGAAATTTCGTCTAATTTCGGAACAGCATCAGCTCGCGTCGTGTCCAATGGAATAATTTTCGGTTATGGTACGATTGTCGCGTCCCACATTATGCATATTTCACCGGGTTATCCGGCGCAATACGTTCGCTCGAAGCGTATCTCTCATTTTGGAGAACATGTAGCATGCTCTCGCTGCGCGTGTACTTGTGCGAGCGTACATTAAATTAAATGGACGCGCGTTGTCGAGTGGCTGTATACATTACGATAATTACGTCCAGCGGAATAGCGTTACGCACAAATATCCGATGCCCCGAAGATATCATCGTGATACTATGCTCTGCAATAATTTCATACTCCGCGAGCGATAATCTGCCCAACGCAGCATGCAAACGATTATTATCACCGCAATAATGTCAATTTATTTAATATCGTTATTATTCCCATCATCCCTCTGTGCAACTATTGTTAATTAAATTTATTTCCGCATGTATCAAACTTACACTTTTACGACTCGACATCGACGATTCCCTTTGTGACACACGTTTTCCATTTATTCAGAATTTATCGGCCATTTATACGTACCTTGGATATAAAGATGAATCGTCATTTCATCGCGGCCATAAGTGTTGGACGCGATACAAAAGTACCTTCCGCTATCCTCGCGGCTGGTACTGATGAAGCCGAGAACGCTGACGACCCCATCGGTAGTATTGTCCTCCTTCAGGGTGTAACGATAATCGGGAAGCTTCGGATCCAATTGGGAGCCGGCCTTCTTCCAAGTTATCTTCAAAGGATGGTCGCCTTTCGCCTCGCAGCGCAGCGAGGCGTTCGAGCCTAATCTCGCGGTCTGATTGCGATGCTTCTCGACGAAATGCGCGGGAACTGTACAATAAAAAAATAATGCATGTAGGCGTAGATGTAGAAACGTATTTTGTTATCTCAGAATGATTCAGGATAATCAAGCAAATTTTATATTTTAATAAAATCGAAACTTTCTGATAAAGTACTAGTGGAAATTGACAGATTTAGTCAGACTGGCGAATAAGTTAAAAGAAAGAAATAAAAATGTAAATATTTATATAGGTCTAATCTATATAATTTATTTTATTATATAATTCACATAATTTCTTATTTATATATAATATATTATGTATATATATATTTATATTATATTTATAAGTATTATATTACAAAATATATTTTTTTAAATCACTATATATTTTTAAATTAGATCTATATAGATATTTTTATTTCTTTCTTTTAAATTATTTGACCAAATCCATCGTTTTTCATTAGTACTTCTATAAGAAAGATTCTATCTTATCAAGAAGTAAATCTTTACAATATATATAATTGTTTAATAATTATATTACAAATTAATACAATCAAAATTTAAATAAGAATTGAAAATGTAGAATGATAAGAGAGCGATTAAAAGATAATGAGAGAGATTTAAAAAATTTACACAAATCTTAATTTCATATTATCCCTGAAAAAATGTATTATTAAGTGATTTTCATCAAAAACATGTATTATTAAATGATTTTCACCGTTAATGTTTGTTCTGAAAACCAAGAGAGTTCTGCGTTCTGCAGAGTGAGTGTTCGGGCAATTTGATTATTTCGTGAGAAAATATTTCCCTATTGCCTCAGAAGGATAAAGCTCTAATTGACTGCATGGATCAATCGTCACGCTGTTGATAATGCGTGGAGTATCTTTTAGATCCAATTAGGGTTAATTGCCAATTAGTAGAGGAGAGACTAATCCTCCTGAAGAGAATTTTTGAGAAAAAGAGAGGTATACTTTTTTGTCTCGCAAAGCTTTAGTTAGCGCATTGAAGCCGCGATTCTTCGCAACTGCAAATGCCAACTGGAAAATGTGATATAATGCTGCAAAAAATGTAAAAAAAAAATGGCAAAAAATGACATTTCACATTATCAAATCTTCTTCTGACAATTACTAGACCATAAAAAAGATATTATGCAGCGTTAAAAGGGAGACCATCGAATAACTTTATCTTTTGTACTCCTTCTATTGTAATGAAAAATGAGATTTCACGCTTAGAGAATCTAGAAACTACTTATATAGCTTATAAAATCAAACCTACCATTGACGGTGAGGTAAACGACCTTACTGAGGCCAGCCCCGATGCCGTTCATAGCCTCGCACAGGTAAAAGCCCTCGTGATCCTCCTGCACTCGACCAAACACCAGCGAGCCGTTCGAGTGTATACTCAGGTCCTGCTTGTGTTCATGGCTGGTTATGTCGTGATAATCGCCCGGTTTTCTGCCGCTGCTGCGTCGCCATGTGACTGTTGGTGGTGGGAACCCTTCGGCGTGGCAATGCATGCTCAATCGAGGCATCCCCTCCGAAGCGCGGGCATCCTGCGGCTCCACCACCCAGCGTGGCGGTACTGATCCATAATGCGCGATTATTAATCGATAGTACCGTAGATATTCCCCTTGATAGCCGACGGCTACTGCAACGACGCGATCCGGAAGTTCGCCTCTACGCGATTGCGCTGTTTGCTCGCCAAAATCGAATTCCTTTATTTAATTTCAGATAAATTTTGGATTAAAAAGAATTTTATATCTTCTCTCCTGTCTGTTAAGTGATTATATTAAGAATGTTAAAGTTGCCTCGAATGATATTTTCGCTGAGGAAAAATTAATTATTCTCGGAATAAATTTCGTTTAAGTATTAAAAATTATATACATGTAATGAAATCTTGTCACTTCTAATAAATATTAAATATTAAAATGTGCTTTATCGAATAATGTTTCTATTCTCTACTTCGAGAAGAATATTCTGTGATCAATACAGTTTTACTTCAAATAGAAGCATAAGTAGATTTCCTTTTCGGGATTTCAAAATCATATTTGTTTTTTTTAAACAAAATCATATATTTGTTTTCTTACATAAATTGATTCTCTTTCTTTTTGTGTTGTATATAAAATTATTAAGAATTATCAAAAAATTATCAATAAAATTTATGTAAGATGTTTAATTATTTTAAAATATTTTATGTCAAAAGATAATATTTTGTGAAGAATTCATTATTTCACTTAAGTATTTTTTATGATTCTGCATTAATGTTTTGTATGCAAAATATTAAGAAAAATCGAGAAAACATATCGATTTAGTTTAAAGAAAACAAAAATAATTTTGAAATCTTCCAAGCGTCTCCATCTGAAACAAAACTGTGTGGATCAAACTTTATCTGAAAATATTTTCGCAAACTTTTTCTATAAAACATCTTAGAATTTATTCGAGATGACAGAAAAATCTGATAACTCATCTTGTACGTACACATATATGCACCCAAGTATAAAACAATTAATTTGAAGGAAGAACTAATTATATTAACGACTGTTAACGACTGTTCGACTCTCAATCGCGATGCTATATCGCAATTTGCTAAGATATAGAATTCGCCGAGAATGGAGACTTCCGAATATCGTCGCGCGACATTTCTTTGCTTTAAGCTTATTGTGCCGAGGCAAGAGCAAAAAGTTCCTGGGGAGAGGATTGGCCTACTGTAACTTCCTACTTTAGCTGCCACGAAAGTAAAGAGAAATAGGATTTGAAAATGCGCATAAGAGAGAGAGAGAAAGAGAGAGAGAGAGAGAGAGAGAGAGAGAGAGAGAGAGAGAGCTGCAGTGTCCTCTTGGGATTGTGGATAAACGGCATGAAACTTTTGCTGATAAAAATTATGGATTGTCCACTATTTGCCTCCTTTTGTCCTTCTCTCCCTTTTTCGTTCTTTCTCTTGCACATATCGGGACGGGAAAGAGAACAGATGGAAGAGAAACAGAGAGAAAGATAGGTTCGGAAAATAGAAAGGGAGAAAAAAACGTGTGCCAAACGTGCGCGCTGGATAAAAGATTTTTCCATCGAGAACAAATCATAAAATAATATCGATGATTAACACCGCGATAACCACAGAGAACAGAGCGATACAAGTGATACGATAAATCGGTGCTGTGCAAATCCAATAGAGCGTATATGAATGTGCACGATCAATTATTGCGTACAAATACACATATAAAGTGTACGAAATACGCATCCCATCTGAACCGAACGTTTATGCACCAAAATTTATATATATATATATATATATATATATATATATATATATAAATGCAAGCTCATTTACATAATGTGGCGCATATTTATGCGCTCGCAAGCAAATTATTCGTCCGATTGTAATTAATAATTGAAGGGTTGAGAGGATGAGGGGTATTATATCGTGAGAATTGCGTTACGCGAAAAATTTGTAATTTTCTGTTTCGATAATTTCGATCATTTAGACGATAATCTGTACGTGATGTTGTACAATAAAATCAGTAAAAAATCATGACGATAGTAAAAATATATATTTGCGCAAAACTATCATCACAATTTACTTTAGTCGATAAAGCGACAGTCTAGAGAGACACTAGGTATTTTTAACATAAAATTACATTTTCAATAGTTTTCTCTGTCTCTCCTCTGGAAAGCAATCAACGTGCCTTCTTGTTAATTTGAATATTTTGACTTTGATATCTAAACTAATGGCAATCGATCTCGATCCAATAAAAATGTAACATCCCTCAATTCCCTCCTGCCCCTCATTGCTTTAACGATTTCGCATCAGAAACCAATTCTTTCGACAAACGTGCGGATCAAACGGGACCGATTCGTCTCGGTGGGCTGGATAGGTAGGTGGCGAATTTTCGTTGACGTGGAGAGAAAGGAAAGAAGATGGTAAGAGGAGCGGGCGTTGCATCGGTGAGATCGGTGTGCCAAGGGATTAGAGACGCCAAAGATCAAATAAGAGAAAAATAACTTGTGAAAAACGTGTCAGTGCAGATATGCGTGTGCTATGATGAAATGAACGTGACTCGGTGCTCTAAAATTGAACTACGAGATTGCTGCTGTTGCTGCTGCTGCTGCTGCTGGCTCGTCTAATTCGCTGTGACTTACACATACGACGATATATGGTGCTATATATATGTATATATATGTGCGCAAAATCGAATTTTGTCAAGAGTGCCTGCGTATTGGCCCTCGCATGCAGTACATTTTTCATTCTAGGTTACTGCGATCGTGTTGAATATGATAAACGCGTGGATCTCATATCGGTCGAAATTCTATTTATATATTTGTATTATCTTTTTTTTTTACACATTTAATTGTACCTTTCTTTCAGCAATGATTTAGCGGTTCCCAACATGCTGTTAATCAATATGCTTGAGGCGTAAATTAATAAGACTTTTTTTTAAATTATTATTCGACGTAAAAAAAAACATTGGAAGGAAGATATATTATATTTTTCGCCAACGCTCTTTCGTAAGCGACCAAAGGGTTGGGTACCGCGTTTGCATTTGACACTCGCGAAATTTATGCGAGGGAGTGTGCGATCGCAGTACTTAATTATCGCGATAAAGGGGTAGAGAGAGGTGCGAGTTGGAACACGGTGCGCGAGGTGTTGGATACATATCTAGAGAGAAAATACGATATATGTGCGGTGAAAGACCGCGTGAGGGGGTGAAACAACGTTATATTATGCTGTGCTCAAGTGCGTTGGTGCGACGGGTTGCTGGCTGGGCGACTGCTGCTGCTGCTGCTGCTGCTGCTGCTACATCATTTCGCGCGTATCGTCTCGGAAAAGACTCTAGAGCTGCGTTTATCCGGACAATGCCGTTTATCCGGAATAGCGAACTGTCCTCTCGCGTATCTCGTGAATATTCGCTAGCGTTTTCAGAAAAATTCCGCGTGCGACTCTCTCCCGTTTTTTTTTTAACGAACAAACATTTCGCGTAGAAAAGTCATTTCGGTTTCAATTCTTTTGTGAAAAATTCATCTCTTATCTCAAGGAATAACTGATATATCTATACGAGATGAAAAAAAGTCGCGTGTGTTAGTGATGTAACCCCAATTCTGAAAACTTTCAAACGCAATACTGAACTGTATAAAATAATGCTATCTAGAATGTCCCACGAGTTAGATCTGTCAGATGCTGAAAATATTCAAAGAACTTTATATATAGTTCTATGATTGCTAATATGCAGAAAAGATAGAGAAAATTAGATATTGAGAAAAATTGAAACTACGACAAATAAGATATCATTGACAAAATTAAATCATAATTAAAAAATAATAATTATTGATTTAATTTATTTTATAATGCCATAAAGTACGCACTATATATAATTACTTTGATACTAACTCTAGTATATATTTAATATTTGAATTATCAAATGTAAGTTTTTTTTATCGATATGAAGTAGTGGATAGCGTTGAAAATGATCAATATCGGAAAAGAGGATACTCACGAGTATCGATTTAACATGTCTTTTAAGAGTGATTTAAACTTTAAAATCAGACACTTGTTACATCTCTCGCATTTCCTCTTGGGACATTCTACGATCTTAATTACACCGCGGACTTATCATGTCGCAAATAACTGGCAAAGCGCAATCGATAGAGAAATCAGCGGGGGATTTCTGCTATCAATATCAGCGTTAACAATACATGTACGCGTATGGTGGTCCCGTTTTAACGGCATATATGTCATAATTCACGAGGGGACGGATATTACTTCCACCCACACAAAGCTAGTCCCGTGGCGTTCGAATTTCGAGCGCGCGCGAACGCAGTCGATATTCTTCGTCGATATCCGGATACCCGTTCCTGCAAAATCCGAGCGCGCAGCCCTAGTGTGACTCGGGACCCGCATCATGCTACTTTTTGACAGACGGCTGCGGTGGCTGCTGCTGCTGCGGCTGCGGCTGCGCTTACGTGACGACGATACGGCGACCGCGGGTGGAATCGGAGGGTGACTCGGCGTTTTAAATCGCGAATTTGTAATATCGCAAGGTCCCCAGTGACCTGATCATCGGGGAATTTGATTTCACACTATCATCATAATTTATTTGAATTTATAATTAATAATTTATCGCGCATCCTCTCTTCCACAGTAAGACTAAAGATTGACAATTAATAACAATTATGCTTAGATACCGCAAAATGAAGTTTATAAAGTTTTACGTTAGAAATATTATCATAATGAGAAATATGCAGGAAGACATGTGCAGATTATTTTTCTTTATTTTGATAGATAAATATTTTAAAAATGCAAGTTTGGAAAAAAATGCTTTCATGAAGAGTTATTTAGAGTAACGTAAAGTGATCTTGTTTTGAGTGAAAATAGCAAGATAAATTTTTTAAATAAGAATCTTATTTTTTACATTTTTAATAATATTTTTTAAGATTAACTTAAAATCAAATAAACATTTTATCTCTTGACATTTCTCTTGAAAATTCATAACTTTAAATTATATAATTATATTAAAAACATCTGTATGAGAATATATATCTTAAATTTTAAATATCTTTGAGAATATCTTAAATTTTAAATATTTACATATTAATGTGAACCATATATACATACGTACATTTGTCTTTTATTATCTTTCCGTCTTTAAGCAAAGACTGGAAAGACTCTCGGATCGCAATCTTCACCCTCCGAAATCGTCCACTCGCCGCCGCTACACCATCGCGAATACAATAGTGCGCTGCCAGGTGCAAGACAGTGATGTGCGAGAGAGAAAAGAAAAACACACAGACTCGGTGCGTTTTTCGCGGTGCGGCACAGCTAGTGCGGTAGAGCTCTCTTTACTTTACCATGAACGATCAACTCGGCCGTCCATAGGACCTCGGCCACCGAATTGCGCGCAAGGCAAGTATAGTTGCCGGTATGAGCGGCGGTGACGCGCTCGATAACTATGGCGCTGGAATGACCGTCAATGTTGGTTACGCGCAGTCCAGGGGGTGTCTGCGAGTGGTGTCGGGGATCGTTTACGGCGACGGCAGCCGCCGTGCCGAGGGTGGAAATCGGCTCGCCGTCCTTCGACCAGATGATCGTGAACGGCGGATCGCCCTTCTCGACCATGCAGGTCACCTGGGCCCGCAGGCCTTCCGACAGGTTCTTCTTAAAGCTAAAGGGAGCTATGGTGGGCGGAACTGCACAAAAAAAGAGAGAGAAAACATGGTGACTGTGAGTGTAAATGGTATGGTGTGCGTGTACACGTGCGTAGACTTGTTGTAGAGTTCGTCTTGACGTCTTGAAGGTCGGCCTTCTCCGCTGCTGATCAAACGCGCCTTCTTCCACTCTGGACGTTCCTCTCGTGGACCTTTTTTGAGTTTGGCGTGTATCGCGGGTCGGAATCGCGAGAAATAAATAGACGGATCCTGATCCAACGTCATCCCGGAGGACGAAACTTATCCAGCGTCCTTCACCGAGATACCGAGAGATTAGTCCGGAGAAACGTGGACAAAATTGTTGAGTTAATAGTTTGACCGACGAGTTTCGCGGATCGGTTTACAACGACGGATCCATGGCCGAGGTCTGAAAGGAGTCTTTGAAGGCAAACTTCCAACGCACAGATTCCCAGACATACTTTTCGTCTCGCTAGAATGGATGGAAAAATGAGAAACATTATGAGATTCACGTTGATCAATTAGCCTTGAAAGGGAGAAAGAGCAATTCAATTTATCTGCGTCCCAACGCAATACGCTGTGTCATAATTGTCGTGTGATCGCGTAAGAGTGTGTCTGTACTGAAACAAACAGAGAGATAATGTTGAATTAAAAGTAGACAAAATTAAAATTGACGCAGCGAGAGAAATGTCGTTCCATTAACGTCGATATTAAATAATAAATGCACGTTTCACATTTCCTCCTCAATCATTTAACGCACGGAAATTTTCAAATTACTAAGTAGCTATTATTTATCATTACCGTTTCATTAAAAGCCATCTACGCGAGTCAAGAATATCTTCCCGCTTCACCGACGATGAAAGGGTTTATGGCCCCGCGATAGCATCGCGAACTGTACGTTTCCGACGTTTGCGGAGAACAAACGTCCCTCGAGTGTTTCGACGCTCGTTGTGAGTATTTCGCAAAATATCTGCAGCGACGAAAACAATCAAGCAGAAGCGAGAGGGCGAGGGCGAGGGAGAGAGATCTCCCTCCTCGTTCCCGGTCGTCGACTTTTCGATGGGAATACGCTCATCGCGAGACGAGCGTAATGCTGCGGAACAATAATAACTTGCCTCGTTGTGCACCTTGTGCGATACCGATGTATACACTGGATACAAGCTGGGGAACGCCAGAACCCCGGGGGTATTAGAACAGAACGCGACGGTTGTTTGAGAATAATTGAGAAACCACGCGCGCGTGGGTGGAGGCAACTAGATAGCAACGTAACGTGAGTAATGCCCAAAGAGGTCCGTCGCACGTATAAACGTTCGTATACACATACAAAAGCGAGGGGGGGGAGAATGGGGGAGGGAAGCAGAGTGGATGGGTTCTCGGGTGAGGCAATAAAGAAGCTCTTGCGGGAGACACATTGCGTTGATAAATTTGTGTCGCATAGTTTCGGAGCAAGTAGGGCGCGAATTCCCGGCGAAGATAATTTCGACGGTGCCTTAATTGGCATCTCCCCCCCCCCCCCAGCGTTATCGATAGCGAGCGCGTGACGTTAATCCGCGCGACTTTAGATTAGGAATTTCTTTTTACCTCCAGCCCCAAAAAAATCGCAATTTTTCGGGATTAAAAAATATCTTTAAAGATACAGGGGAAGGCAAGCGTTGTACCTCGTTTCTATATGTCAATATTCACGTAATTCGCGATAGCGGCAAAGATAAATAGAATCCTTCCCCCCCAAAGAGAAACTAATTTCTGACAGCACGGATTACTATTCGTACTTTTATTTCGCGCGTACACGAGGAGACACGGAATAAATAAATACGTACGTAAAGGACGCGCACAAAGGGGAGATATCTCCCTGTTTGTTCTTTGCTCGTCGACGAAATGCGGAAATCGCCCTTGGGCGATTCGTTCGCTCATCGTTGACGAGAGCTCCGTTTCGCTCGCAGCGATTCGCTCATTGAAAGAACAGACGCTTTTAATACACACGCCAGCCTCGATGGGGAGGAGATTCCCCCTGGGGAGGAGGGGTGGATGTCCTTACACAGGAATTGCATAATACGTATCGCGCATCGACGGTTACGAACGTGTACAACTCGTCCCTTCTGTACTCTTTAGTTTTTGAGTGATAAATATCTCTCCTCCATTTGGAGCGCTCTTTTTATAATGAAAGCCGAAACGAGGTTTGATATATAATCGCGAAAGAAATTCTCGACCGCGTAATCTTCGTCGAGAATTTTTTTCAGTCTTCCCTTTTAAATCACGCTCGATCGAATCTGGTTTTTACACGGACGGCGAAAAAAAGATCAGATCATTTGAATGTCGGAAGTTTGCGAGAGAATATCAAACTTTTTATCCCTATATCGACGGTTATTATTCCATCCGTGGATTGATCTTTTGCTTTGACCACGAGATTCGCGCTGAAGTGGGCGGCTTGAGAGTCGCGCGCGTCGATTAATAGCGACCATACTCGTACTTTTTTTGGCCCTTCATTTCTCTCCCGTTCTCGCCGGTACTCGTCGCGGCGCGATGGAAACGCGCGTAATCGCCAAGTACGATTGCAAGAGAGCTTTTAGCGGAATCACAAAATCGCGCGAGTCAAGGAAATAAAAATGGCCGTGCTACTCGAATATGGAGATTGGTTCGAAAAATTCTCTCGACGCGAGAACCTCAGAATTCGAGATTTTGCGGAGAGTGACAAGATTTAAAATAATACCACCCAATCCCTCCGAAATATAGCGAGATATTATTCCACGTTAGAAATGAAAACCACACACATATAACGAGGGGAAAAAAATCTTCGTTTTTCGGGCGAGATGAGTAAAAAAAAAAAGAAATTCAATCTGAAATGATTCTCGGAGCTTTTTTTTTTTGAGAGCGGGAGAGGGAGAGAGAGAGAGAGAGAGCTAGAGAGAAACGAGGCATCGAGGGGGGAGGGTTTCCGGCATCTGCCGGATTAGGCTGCGACCGCTGCGTACCATGGACCAGGAGGGATGCTGTGTGAGATGTCTTGGCGGCGTCATTGCTCGCCACGCAAGTATAGTTGCCGTCATGCGCGGGCGACGCGCTCTGTATCCTCAACGCGAGATCGAACTCGCCGATCTGATGCGTTTGGGCTTCCCGCGGTTTCAACGGCTTGCCGTCCTTCAGCCAGGTGATCTTCAGAGGCGAGTCACCCTCGCTGACCGCGCAGGTCACGTGCACCCGCCAGCCCGACTGGATATTGACGGGAAAACTAAACGGATCGATTTTAGGTGGTACTGCAAATTACAAGAAGCACGAATTTATTTCACGTCGCGACGGCGTGCATCGTCGTCGTCGTCCTCATCGCCTCGTTGCCGGAAGGAATCGAGTCGAGAGAAAACAGGGTTGTGGAGAGCGTTTTTTAAACATGACAAATTGAACGGAAATAATTATTCATATATATATATATATATATATATATATATATATATATATATATATTAATTGTTAGAGGGAATGCACTAGATTATCTCCAAGAATAGCGTTGATTTTTCCGGTGCCTTTAATTTAATTTAATTTTTAGTGTTTTAAAATTATTTTACCTCAAAAAATCTTGTGGAAAATAATGCAAAACTTATGTATTTGATATTTTTTTAAACTAAAAAACTCTATATAGTAGTTTAACAGAATATTCGATATACAATTTTCTTCTTCTCTCTCCCTCTCTCTCTCCATATATACTTGACTTTTACGATCCAATATCCTCTCGACTCAAAAAATTTGGGTTGGAAGTACATGAAGAGTTTCAAGATTGCGGGATCTAATTTTCTCGGTAACCGTTGCGAACACATTTTATATATCCTACCTGCATGCTTTGCTCGACATGATAGCGGCACAAAAATCATGATCATCTGAAATTGTCGTTAATCCAAGAGCAGTGTTCAAGATATAATATTATTAAAGTTGTATCTATTCCCTTAAAAACTGTGCTAAATACTATCATTAGAAAATACTTAAGGATTATTTTATGTAATTTAATTAATGGTACAACAGGGTCCCTAAATTTACTAAAATAATAATAAATTGCACATTTAATAATCAGTTGAAAAATTAATATATATGTGTAGGAATGTTTTAAAATGCTCCTTGTATATATTCATTATTAATGTACCAGAATGGCAGTAAATCCACACCTGTACATTGAGAATAAAGTACAGAAGTTTTTGCGAAATAATTTATCTTACGAAATATCCCGTTACGCGAAAAAGAAGTCTTACGACCAAGCGTAGGGCAGCCTTTTGCGGCAGAAATGAAGCGGCTGGGATTTCTTTTTAAATCATAGAAAGTTCGTCGCACACACATACATACGTACTGTCATATGTACAAGATAGAGGAGTCTCCGTCGTTCGATCTCAAGAAATAAAATGTGTACTCGTAGTTCTTTTCCTCTCTCTCTTTATCTTTTTTCTATATTATACACTGTATGCGTACTATATATTATATGCGAGAGAAGCGCTACAAATTTTTCTACGACCATTCTCTCCGCGGTGTGACGCATATCGAGAGGAAAATTGTCGTGCTTCAATACGCGAGATAAAAATTCACGATTCGATAAAATGTTCGCGCAATCCTACGCGCACGGCTATCAATTTAAAATTCTTCCACCAAGAAAGACGAATCGGACATTTCCTTGATATATGCGCTCGAATTTTTTTTTTATCGACCACTTGCTGTATTCAAGCTCGCGTTATAACTCGTGTCTTGAATGACATATAATTTTTATATAATAGTGTGTATTTTATATATAATAGAGAGGATATTCTAAAACCAACAAAAGAGGATATTCTTTTGATAAGAGATTCTGTAGTTAATTTGAAGAATTTTTCCTCGATAAAAATATCGAGGAAATTATCATTTTTTTGCAAGTTTTCAATTTTTGTTATCATATATCCTTAATTAAGTTTTAAATTAAAATTCTATTAAAGTAAACTTCGTCTAAAATTAATTCAAGAATGTTGTTTTTAATCTTTTAACTCTATAAAGTTTAATTTGCGAAAAATCCTTTTTTTTCAATCGTTTATAACTTGGAAATTACGATGATGCGACATTTTCACTGAAAAAAAGTTTCTGAATTATCACGAAATGCATTATTAAAAGCACATCTAGTGTGGGATGCTCTACTATATTGTTTTATTACATCTTCGTTATTATTTTATTCCTTTTTAAAATTTTTTAAATTATTATTATTCTATTCCTTCTTTAGAATCGTTTAAAATTCGATTTGATCAGCAAGCAGTTAACAAAAGATTCGAAGTTTCGCGATTTTCGCGTTTAACAGAGCACGGCAAATCCGCAAACGACACGGCGTACTGCGCGACTTCTTCCGATAAATCGACTTTATCATGAAAACACTTCGTCGCGATTACTAGACGGTCGACTTTGCGGGCGACCTCGAGGGAACCGCGAGAAACCCCGATAAAGCGGATCACCGTTATTGTTGAACAAGAACCTCGCTTGCGGGACACTGTTGTTCCAATTTAACCGGACAAGATAACCATAAAAAAATAAAAAGATATCCGTTAAAAAAAACGGAGAAAAAATGAAATAAAGGATAATGAAAGTGAACTTTACCTTTGACTTCGATGTGAATGGTTTGCGAATCGGAGCCACCTTGCTTGTTCTTCGCAGTGCACGTGTATGAACCGCGATCGGTACTGCTGTCAACCCGGTGCAGCACCAATGTGCCGTTCGCTGACACATCCTGACGACGACTGGTTGGCAGTATTTGACCATCTGCGAAAGGAAAGCATTTTATGTATAACAATTCCATTAGAATAAAAAAAAGGGAAAGGGCGCATATTTATGAGAAAGTTGAATTCGTATAATAATTTGTAAATTAATATTGCATTTTTTAAATAAATAATATCTAATAAATATAAAATAATAAAATAAAATAAATAATAAAATAAAAAATAATATAAAATAAATAATACGTTGAATTACTATTTTGTACATTCTAATTGGCCAGATTTCTATTCTTTTATCATCAAGTATAATCACGAAATATTCTCCTTCATCGGCACGAGTTCGAGCTTTAATCGAAAGTGGAAAATCGCGGTTCACGAAGGTGCAATATTTGAGTTTAAATTATGCACTTGCTCGTCACGCAATCCGCGCGACCGTAGCATTGTGGAAATGCGGTTTTCCACTGAGTTCGCACCGCGTTGGCGACGTTACGGCGATGCAGTCGAGTGTTCAATATGCTTTCATAGCAAAGGAGCGACCGACTTTGAAATTGTTATCGAACTCAAGTCACTTTAGTAAATGCGATATATATTTCACGAGAGAAAGTAGCTAAACATACGAATAGTATTATGCAATGTTTTGCAACGTATGTGTGCAATCATATTTAAATATAATATAGAAGGCGCAATAAGCTGTACGAACAAATATATGAAATATAAAATCATACTCGTTATGGAAATATCAAATGTGTTTTTGTAGAATACAAGGTTTTTTTCACAGGACATTTATCGTATAACACATGTCCACACACACGGGACATTTGCAAGACAAAAATAATATGCGATAAAAAAATTAAATGCGCGCATTACACTCACGTGAACATAAAATAAAGCGTTAATTATAAAAACAAAAGGACAATCTTTAAAACATGGATAAACCCTTTCGCCGGATATCTTCCGCAGATCCTTAAAAAGCACCGCGCTTATAACGCTTAATGGACCAAATGGCCGTGGATGGTCGCTCGCGGTCGTCGTCGCGACGTCGAGGAAAGTTGGGGTGGAAAGTTGGCGCAACGATCGTTTGAAACTTTCTCGAAGTCGAGTTCATCACGACGAGAAGGAGCGCCCGAAGTTCGTCGCTTCGGGACGACTCGCGACCTCGATCGAAATAAAAAGGTTTTCCACCCTTTTCTCGGGATTACACGCCAACCCGAGGGACGCGGAAAGGGCTCCTTCCTAAAGATCTCCCGAAGGCAGACGAAGGAAATTTTCCCGACGAAGTGCGACCTTCCCGCTGGAGTCGAAGACGCTGCCGTTAACTTCTTTACGCATCCTTTGCAGCATCTCGAATATTTTAATCTCCGCGAGCGTTTAATTCCATCATCCAGTCAGAGCAAATAAAAGACGCGCCGCGTAAAGATCGGAAGACTTTATTAAAGCGAAAAGAGCGAAAAAGCGGTTTTGTTCGCAGCTCACTCGATCAAGTCTGCCTAAAATATTTGTGCAACTTCTAAATGCGAGAAGCAAATCAATAATCGAGGAATCAATCACCGGTTATTTTAGAAAATAGTGCTGTATATGTATTTTAAGATTTTGCGATCGTTTAGGCTGATTGCAAAATATGGCTAGAAAATGTAAATAGAAAAAGAAACCTAATGCTTTATTTTTTACAAAACACGATTTTTTTTTGTAAAAAAGCAACTTCATTTTTTTTTTCAAAATTTTATTGTTTTTTTTTCAAATATTCAATATTTTTATATTTCAAATACTTTTATATTTTTTATTATTACAAGTTAATTTTTCATTTCTGATTTTTAAATGATAGATTTGAAATACTATTACTTTCAATATAAATTACATCCTAATAGCTATATAGTTATGTAATTACTATTTTTAATTAGATATACGCTCCAAACATAAATCAAAATTAAACTTGAATTTTTTATTAAAAATACAAAAATGCAGTTTGTAATTTTCAAAAATATACTTCAGTTATTATTTTAATATAATAAAAAAACTAAAACTCTATAGTTATAATTAATCTTTTGTTAAATAATTTTAATGGATTAATAATATTTTTGTGATTAAAATATCAAACATGACATAATTCGGATAATTTTAATTAGATGTACAATAAAAATTTAATGTATACATTTAACTGAAAATCATGTCGTGTTTGATGTGATTTGTGATAAAAGTGTCATTAATTCATTAAAATTACTTTCGAAAGTAGATAAATTTGAAATATAAGGACTTGGGAGTTTTTTAATTATAACAAGAAATTTTCCTCATTATTTTAATTTTAATTTTAAAAAAATAATTTTAAAATTAAAATTAAAATAATGAGGAAAATCAAATTTATTTTTTCTACATTTATTTCTTGTTAGAAAAGAGAAACGGACTTTTTACATCTCTAGATATGACACTGTGACTTTTGTCGAATCGCATCACAATACTTTACAGGAAATATAATATAAATATGACACATGAAATATACAAGTGTACGTGTCTCTTTCTCTCTACTACGTTATTGGAATAAAAGATTTTCCACTTGACGTTGAAAGACGATTTTTAATATCGAAAGAATAACTGAATAATTCAATTTCGTGATAGACGCGAAAGTTTGCAGAAACCCCAAGATTCCGAAGTATCGGGAGCTAAAGGTACGTAATAAAATAGTAAAGCAAAGATCTTGTCAATGAAAGAATCGTATTGCGAAAAATCTCATCTTCTTCGATCTATACCAGGGGTTTTCAATCCGCGGCTCACTTCTTCTTTTATTAAAAATGTATGAAAATATACCTTTGCAATATTATCATCTCTTTCATTCTTTCTACCACTTGAACAGGTTAAACGAATTGAAATTATATTCGCCAATATTTTACATTATTCTCTTCGTATGTGATATAATTTCATTATATTTAATAATAAGATAAAGATTACAACGGCACCCCCACTCATTCGATTAGCATACACTTATTAAAAAAAATAAAAGAAAAAATTAAAAAAAAAATATTGATCGTTTGGAAAATTATGATTGATGACGAACCTTTTTCCCAGGTGATACTGGCGATCGGGAAACCCGCGACGGGACACTTGATGACAGTCGTCTCGCCGGCCACGGCAGCATAGTTGCCCATGGGTCGCACATGAGGCAGTCCGTAAATATTGAGCCGGGCCGCGTGATGCACCTTCGCGACGCGGTTCACCGCCGAGCACCTGTACTCACCACCGTCCTCCACCCGCACCGCGCTTATGTTCACATGGGATATCACGTCGCCGTGTACCGTCACGTACTGGCCTATCATGAATCTGCAAGCAAATCACCGCTGTTTTACTAATCTACCTACCGTATCTGCCGGCTATGCACGGCGATCTTCCGTCGACCGGGAGAATTATCGAAAATTTTTTGCTGAACCAACGGGAAGCGTAAATCAATATTGCCGACGGTTCGTCGAGAGAATCTTTTATCGTTCATCAACGTTAGGTGTGTGCGAGTAACTTGAAGCGATAAATTTTCGCAAAATCATTCGTCTCGAAATAGAGATGTCATATATCCGAAAAAATACATGTTGGCATCTTTTTCAGAACAAAAATAATCTTGCACATTTATCTATTATACATATATCTATCTATCGATAAATAAAATATTATGGATCAAACTTAATTAATAATCAAACTTAACTAATATAACTTAAATTAATATTTCAAATTTTTACACGCGTGACACATGGTTTAACTTAAGATTCTATCTCTCACATTAGTCAGTCTCAATTCTAGCAAGGAGACTTTCATCTCCAGAAACATCCCCTTTTTCAACAAAATCATTCTTCTCGCGACTCGCTTGCGGCGATAATCATTGGGCCCGCGGGATTATCGACCGTCTGCTCGACTTTATGCGAACGCCCGTTAAATCCATCGCTCTTCGGAATTTGGTCGGCTTTTAAAAACGTCCAGACTGAACAGCGTGATTGGTAATTTTCCTCTCAATTGGTTCAGAGAATCGAAGCCCGCGGGGTTCTATCGAGGCACTCCCACGAGATCCGTCAGATGGAAATCCCGCTTCCAAACCGAGTTCCCACGACGATCTCCCGTGTAATACCCTAAGGTTAATAACCGCGAATAATCCGCGTACATCATTCGTCGATTTTTGGTGCCATAATCGTTCCGTTTGGCGAAAGAATGAGAGAGGGAAAAACGGTTACAGAATAAATCGGGGATTCTGCATCACACCCGTTTTATCAATCGCTCGAAGAGACGAAGGCTCCTGCGAGGCAAACTAGTCGTCCTACCTATCGTTTTGTGGAAGGGGAAACCCATCCAGTGTCCAGGAGAAATGCGGCGTAGGGTTGCCCATCGCGATACACTTGAGCGACACCGAGGGACCCGGTTGCATCGTTTGCTCGATGAACTTGTATAGAAGTTGAGGTGCTGCATCTAGACGATGATAGAAATTCAGAGTTATTAAAGAGATGCTTATTTATGAATTAAAATTATTTTGCATTTTTATTATTATTTTAAAGGGAAGACATATAAACAAAATCGTAAAACAAAAAGTATTTTACGTACAAAAAGTATTTTACATAAAAGTGCTTCAAGAAATATATTTTTATAATTATAATTTTCAATTTAATAACTTTAAATTATATATCAACTTTATAATTATAATTATAATTATCAAAAATTAAAAATCATATGATTAAATTCAAAATTTAATTTTGCTTTAATTGAGTTACTTAGATTCGTGATTATTGTCGTAATATATATTATTTTAATTATACAAGGTGTTGGACAATAAAGGCTTGTAGGAAACATAGTAATCATTAAGTCGAAACATAGATGGAAAAATCTATTCTGTCACAATTGAATGATTTTTTATTTTGATATAAAGTTAGTGATCTAGTTGCTTTTATTTATCGCATGTAATGTGAAAATAAATTTTTTTTACTTCTTCTTTTATTCTCATGTTTATTAAGCAAACTATAAAAAATGTTTTAAGTATCTTTTTTCCATTTGTACACATGCTTTATTATACATCTATATATCCGTATCACGAATTGCAAACTCTTTCAAAAATTCCATCAGAATTTCTCTTCATTTTAACAGGTATATTTTGTATTCCCTGATATAAAACGTGTGTATAAATAAAAGGAGGACATCTTTTATAAATATCGAAATAAAGATATATAAGTTAACGCTTTGTTTCTTCACATCATATGTGATATAAAATAGAAACAAATAAATAATTTGCTTTAGACCCGAAAAATGCTTTTAATTTTTTGCCAAAATTAATTTTTCTATCTAATTTGTTTACTAAATTTTTTTATTAAATTTTATTCTTAGTAAATATTATTTATTCTGTAAATCTTGAATCATTCTTTTCAACATTTTTTATATTTGACGTGATATATTTCGAATGTTACATTTATTAAATTAATTTGCAAATATAATAATTAAAACTTTCTATAATAATATTAACAATTTTATTATATTTTCATGGATACTCTATTTTAAAACTGTTAGTATTTAATAATTACATCTGATTGTATTGATTTATACATATGTATCAATAATAAAATCTTTGAGGATATCTCGTTTTAAAGTTATTGACATTTAATAATTACATCTGATTGTATAGATTTTTATAAATATTAATAAAATTTTTGAGAGATATCCGTCAAAAATCTATAACAGTAATCAAAGAGAGATTGCAATTTTATGTAAAAAATGTTTATTTACGTTACACTGAATAACATTACCACACGCGAATCGCATTGGCACGCGATTTGGTGCAACTGCAGGAATTTCGAAATTGCGGCATGCTTGGTGTAGTTCAATCTAAATCCACCCTGTATATAACTTGCGCAACAGTGGGAATATTCACAGGAAATCTCCGTGCGATAGTCGGGATTTTCCTCAAATTGTGCCGTCAAAGAGAGAGAGAGAGAAAGAGAGAGAGGAACAGAGGGAGGAAGAATTTCTCAGACTGTTACTTGCGCACAAACAAGCTTGTGTTTCTAAACAACCGCAATACTGGGGCACGAGGTAGCATAAAAAAATGTGCAAATGTAAGCAAGCGTAATAACAATAATTTTAAAAATTAAATTCCACAATAATGACACTATTATAATCAATTTCATCTGAAAATTTCATTTCACCGAAGATCTCTTCCTCGCATTGCGGACTCAAACGTCGGATGAAATCACGACTTTAAAGATCGCTCTTTATTAGCCGAGATTCCGAGCAATTTTCAGACTATTTCATTAACGTAGCTCCTGTTCGAGCTGAATCTCTGCCGGAATGTTGACGTACGTGTCGTCGAGCGCGTACCTGAAATCAGGTGCATCGCGACGCGGATGCGCTTCGAAGGGTTCGCCTGGCCGCCTGCGGCGGGCATCGTCGTCGAAATGGCCCTGGGTCGCAAGACGAGAGCAGGAGGACGAGGGGGAGAAGGGCAGAGGGTATTATGCACGCAACATTTACATGACAAGCCCCGCGGTGCGCGCAGGCGGAACTATCGATCTGCGGTTTGACGCCTGAACTCGAGTGCCGCCCGGTGAATTAACCCCAAATTATAGAGCCGACAATAAACCGGTAGGGGTGGCGGAGAGCGAGGGACGGGGGAGAAACGGCGGGGCGGGGGCGGCTGGATGGGGGCAACGTGGCCGGGGTAGTTTGGTTGATTCGAGCCGCGGCTGTTTGCTTTACGGCGTAAATCAGAATGCGCCATTGCACGCGTGCCACGCCCCGGGTTTCGCGGGGGGTTCTCGCGTCCTCGCATTATCTCGTAGTGCGCGCGCGAACACCGACATCATTGTGTTGCAAGCGAGCGTCGTCAGCGCGGACCGACCGACTGCGCTTTCGTCGACGCGGCCGTTTCCGGTTTTCCCGATGGATGGAAATTCGCGGGTTGGGAATTGCTCAAGTGCCATGTCGAGTGATGCATTTCCGAAGAGCAGAATTGATTCTTGCGCGCGAAGTAACGTACGGAGGGTGATTGACTTCGAAAGAGATGTAAACTTGTGAAAGGAAGTGAAATTGTACGATTTTCCGATGTGAGCTGCCTTTCCTCTTTCAATTTCATCAAGCAGGGCACAAAATGTGCGTGTCGACTCTTGAACGTATCGGTGGCTTCAGCTAATAAAACGTCAAGTACATAATTTATACGCGTGTAACTAGCGATTCCAGAGGCTTTTAGTTACATTAAATAAAGAGACGCGCTCTGCTTTAGGGGAAAGCTTATTTTTGCTCGTGCTTATATAAAATCGAAAGCTATTAGAGAGAGGAGGACCGGAGCATTTTTTAATAAAAGTTAATCGACTCCGAACGAGTCTGAAAAATATTGAGATTGATCTTGTTCCGGAAGAAGAGACATCATTTCCGGCACTTTTCATTTTTCTCGGCTCGTCATCGAATCACACGCTTCTCGTCCATCGATACGCAAACGTTTCCATTAGTTTTGGCGGATCGTGTCGTGTGTATCGCATTCGTGCGCGCGGTGGATCGGTATATAATCCCTGACAGATTTGTAGCAACGACTAGGCAACGCGATCCCGCATCGTCATCCGCGTCCGCACAATCGCTTCGCGCCAGGCTATTACACATCGAGCTTTGTGTCATTAATGCATGCAAACACTGAACGTTGCTCGCGATCCATCGCGACTCCTCGTTATTTATCCCGACCGGGCTGCCGATTCGACGATGCGTCGTCAACAAAGTGGAAGTTTGCCAGAATCAGGACCGGAAAATTATTTGACGCTCCAGTATTTAATATCGGGTTATATTGCTGGCGCGTAAAGGGCATCGCAAATATTGCTAAAAAAAAAATTATCGACGTACAGACGATGATAAATAGATTGAATTAGATTTTTGTGAAAATTAATTAAAACATTCACAAATTCAGAAAGGTGTGACTTTTGTCTAAAATTTGTTACTTTTGTCAAATAAATTGCTAATGAAACATTAATGCTATAGGAAAAGAAAACATCAATTTTAAGTCTCATTATTTCAATCTATATTTCTGTGATAATCGAACAATCATTTCATTTGACATATTTATATCCGATACTTGGAATTTAAATATCGATTATTTTACGCGCTATCATAAATAAATATAGATTCGAGGATCAACTATAATGAGAGTATTCCGTACGCATATAACACTCTGTTACTCTAATCTAATATGACACAGCGAATCATTAATCCGGGATTAGTTAACCCCCGACCATCCGAGCGCAACTTAGCCCGAGACCCTATTACATCAATGTCGATTAGTAGCAACCGCGATTTAAAGCTGTCCTCTCCGTCTGCATTGTGCCCGTGATCCCGCCCCCCCGAAAGAGACAGAAAATCGTTAAGTGAATTTTATTAATTAACCCAGATTATCGAATGTGAATATGACAGTAACAATATCTCGGAGCAACGATAAGATTCTCCATTATTATTATTTCGTTCTTATTTTAAGAGGCACTGAAAACACTTCGCATAATATTTCCGATTTTCTTCAGGTTGATCCTCGCGATTTTAGCTTTAATCGAGTGTTGCGGCGGTAGCCTTCGATTAAGGCGCATAAAGCGGATGCGAAAGATGATAAAGAGGACAGGAGAGATGCTCGATTCGATATATTAGTCGATACAAAATTACAGTAAAGCGTTTTAGTACGATGTCATCTTCAATCTACCGTTTTATAGAGGACGAAAATAATCTTTTCGTTTTCTAGAATTTCTTGTAAGAATAGAAACACGAAGTTGTAATATATTTTGAGACTGTAAAACATCTTCTCAGTCTTTTTCTTTTGCTTCGGAACAATTTTACGCAATTTTATATTTATATTTCAAATATTTAAAATTAAATATATAATGATTTTTTCGTGTATTTATAATTCAAATATTTAAAATTAAATATATAATGATTTTTTCGTTTTAATGATTTCTTGTAAGAATAGAACACGAAGTTGTAATATATTTTGAGACTGTGAAACATCTTCTTAGTCTTTTTCTTTTGCTTCCTAACAATTTTACGCGATTTTATATTTATATTTCAAATATTTAAAATTAAATATATAATGATTTTTTCGTTCTAGAATTTCTTGTAAGAATAGAAACACGAAGTTGTAATACATTTTGAGACTGTGAAACGTCTTCTCATCTTTTGCTTCGTAACAATTTTACGCGATTTTATATTTATATTTCAAATATTTAAAATTAAATATATAATGATTTTATATTTATAAAACACAAAATATTTGTATATAAAGATATTTAAGAAATATAAAGAATTTTTGTAAAAATTCTTATTGTGTGTTCTTGAGTAAACAGTTTTCTTTCTCAAAGAGATTCAATTGTGGATCTTCTAAATCTCATTACACGGAGCAAGCAATCTCTCTCTTTCTCTCTTTCGATCTAGTAATGCATAAAGGACAATAATAAAACTACGATAATAGCGCAGCATTCGATTTACGTAAATGAGTATAAGCGCGCGTTATTTCGTCTTTCTTACAACATCGGCAGTCGAGAGTTACAATCGCAGAGTGGGAAGAACTTTGCTTTTAGCGGCGATGCTGATTCAGTTACGTTCTCATTTGGCTCGCTCTCAAAAGTACCTATTTCATCGCGTAGATCAGCAGTTTTCCCCGCGCGTTTCATCGTGCGAATCCTTTGTGCAAAAATACCATCGGCGACAAATCCCTCCTCCCCTCTCTCTCTCTCTCTCGTGTAACATATATATATATATATATATATATATATATATATATATGTATGTATTTTTTCTATCCCCCTCGTTCCTTCGTCGCGTGATTTATGATCGTTATGGAACCTCGCCTCTTTGATTCTCCTCTTTTGTTACATAAGAGGCTTATCCGGGCCGTCCAATTATTTCGCATTTCACATCGCGACGACGACAATGACACCGACGACGACGACGAGGACGACGAGGACGCACGCGGCACTGGAAATCGCATTAAAACGAACTCGTAAATTACTCATTAGAGTATCTCTCACGCGCGCGACAACGATTTCCGCATCAGACGAATCGAGTAAATGTATCGCGATATATCTGCACGTTTACGCGAACATCGAGAGGTAAGAATGTCATCGCGAAATTCACGATTCATAAGTGTATAATTGCGAGTTTATATGTATTTTGCACTTGGAACAATTTATTTTTGCTCATTTTTTGCGAGAACAAGGAAATGCTGCATGTGTGTATGTGTGTGCGTATGTGTTAACTGCTGCTGCTCCTGCTGGCGATTTAAAGCGCGATCTCCGTTTCATCGTTCCACTTTCCGACCTGCTGCCAGCAGCTTTTTCCATTGGGATATCGTTTAATTGCGATAAAAACAATCAGTGGAATATTTTTATATATGTTCCATTTACACGAAAAAGTAAAATATTCCAGGAATTTTGTTTGCGAATTTCATACGCGATGATCCGATTCATCAAATGCAGTTACAAACGAGAGCTTTAATTTTGATGAATTAACTTTATCGAACATACTTATTGTTTAAACAAGTCGTCACGAAAACAGAATATCGATAAATAATATTTCCTCAAAATTTGACGATTACTCGAGATATTTGCTTAAAATAAAAAAGCTTACAATCTATTAAAAAGATTTTAATTTTTTCCAATCTTAGGAACCCATATAAATGAAAAATTTCGAGCGAACTGATAAAGACTTAAAAATTTCTAAGGTTTATATTTCGAGCGTAACTTTTTCAAAGTCCATTTATATAAATTATTAAATTTTATGCTCGCCGTAAATTCTTCGAATAACCGCGACTAATATTCTATACCGAGTCTCACCCTATTTATAATCCTTTTAATTCAAACGGCACGGAGACGGCGAAAACTAATGCGAAGGTCCGAAGGTTCGCATCCGTCCTCGCTCGCCTCGTGTGCACAGGCATCTTAAGACGGTCGAGAAAGCGACAGCGGTCGTTTAAGGTAATGGATTATGTCGCACGAAAACACCGCCATCGTCTCTGCCAACGCCGTTTTAAAGACGATGAAGAGTACGTGTGGAAGAACGACGACGAAGACGACGAAGACGACGACGTCGGAATATTCGTCCACGTTGCCACGTTCGTCTTCGCCCGCGATTCTCGCGCGGTCTTCGCTCCCTTTCTCCCTCTCATGCTCTCCTTCCATTCTCTCTCCGGTCGACCGACCTCTCCCCCTCTTCCCCCCTCTCCTTTGACTAAGACAAATGGCACGTATTTATTTCACGGCACGCCGGCTAGTGGATTTCCCCTTTCTCCATTATGCATCGCCCTCGTTAAGCATTTTCCCCGCTTTTTCTTCCCCTTTCATCCCCCTTTTTTATCTCGGAGCCCGCACATTTCACCCCGTCAACCTCTCAGCGGTCGGGCTATTCCTCTAACTTGCGCCCTTATTTTCCACGGTCGATCCGTATGCGAATGTACGGGCATGTCGCTTACGAGAACAGCCAAGTTCGGAACAATCGACTTGCAGCGATGAAGGAATTCGATTGCATCTATTGAACGAGAGCTTGGTCCAAGAAGGTACGAGAGGTAAGAGAAAGGGTCTGATATACGTTCGCGAGAATTCCCGCCTCCGAACACTTCTCTAGATACGGGAACTTTTGACTCTCGAACGGCAAATTTGAATTTAATCCATGACTCAGGATAAATAATACTTTCTTCACAAAAACTAACTTTACAGTTGATGCAAGAAATAAAGAAAATATTATACAATATTTTTGACAGTTTCTTCTTTTTAAATACATTTTTTAAATTGTTAACATCATATGTGTGCTTGTATGATAATAGCAGAAATAAAATCATAAAATAAATGAATTTATTTTATTCATTTTTCTCCTATCCCCATAAAAATTCATTCACTTTATAACTGTATTCTTGCAAATATTGGCAAATATCAATTTTTGTTACAGATAGAGAAATATTTTCGAAAAATTTATCCTTCAGTTGTCTCTGTATTCTGATACAAATTGATTGCTATCGCCATTTCATGTTTCTCATCGTGCTAGTACGTAATTGAATAGTAAAAGCTCAACGTACCGTGCTGATGAAGAAGGTCATCCTTAATTAAAAATACGTCGTCGTTTAGTAACTTAATAAGGGGGTTTCCGGGCAATGAGTCGGTATATTTAGTGGACTTATACGTTAAAGCGATCGATAAAAACTGCGAAAAATCGCAAAAAGAGGGAAAGAAGAGACAAAACTTTGGCAATAGAGTCTCCTACCAGTTAATGGTGTACCGTTAATAGTCTTAATTTAGCCTTATTATTTTCTGGAGGAAACTTTCATAAAACTTTGCCAAAGTTGCGCGGATGCTCGCCCGAGCTCGTGCTTAACCATCGAGTTTCGTATATGGTACTTTAAACACACCCATTATATTACTGCAAATATATCTCGAGCATCTCTCAGCTTTTATGTTTCAGGCAGAAAGCAGAAATTAAAAGAAAAATTTGAAAAAAAAATTGCAGGTAGTAATTTGCACTCGCGTGTATGTCTTACATATATGTCGCACAATTATATATAATTATAAATAAAATTAATTTATACTTTAGTACGCTTCATAAAAGCATTTAAGAAATTAATTTAATTTAATAAGAAAATACAATATTTTTAAAAATTTATTACATTTTCTCTTTCAATTTTTTAATACTGGAATTTACCATTTAGTATTTATTAACGGAATCTATACTTTTTAAAGTTTCATGACTGAAAAATGATTAATGATTTTTAGATTAGCGACTTGTTTCATGAGAATAAAATATCGCATTCGAATAAAATTATTCTAATTTAAAGAGAATCTTTCTTCATAAATTTAATATACTTTAGCTCTTAATTTTTTAACGTTGATTTAATTTATTAAGCGCGATTCATACTCTTTAAAATTTCATGATTAATTGAAACTGTCAATTATCCAAATGTTAATAATTAATAGTTTATATGTTAATAATTAATAGTTTTTACGTTAGACTATTTTTACAAGAATAAGAGACCCTATTCGCACAAAAGAACGTGAAGAAAATATAAAAATCGAATAAGTTTACCTCCCAAACGTAATTCGGCCGTGGCTTGCACCATCTCGTAATCGTTTTTGGCGAAACACTGATACATCCCTTTGTCGTCCCGTACGATAGAAGATATGTGCAACGTCGAGCCATCGTTACCCGTAATTTTGCTTCTACCCGAAGATCCTTCGCGTATAGGAAGACCGTCCTTCGCCCATGAGATTACCGGATGTGGCTGACCAGTGACGGAACACTGAAAGTCCGCATCCTTCCCTAGATCCACAGTCACCTAATATTCACAAGAAATACGTTATATTATAGTATTGTATAACATATGATAAAATGTAATATGATATTTGCTAATATTTCTTGATAAAATACACGATATTGGAATAATATAATATTTACAATATAGAATTATATCGTTATACGTAATATATGTAATGTATGTACATATGTGTAGATTACATATGCATGTATAACATTATATATGAATTTCAATATTATCTCTCTTAAAATATATAAAATGGCATATAAAATTGCGATTTACAAAGAAATATTAAAATAGATTCCTTTAAAATATATATTGAAGTCGCTGGATATAATGACAGCATTTTTATTTATCTAAAGTGATCAAAATTTTCATTTTTCTGTCAAAATTAACAAAAAACCTTTTCAAAAAAATCTTTCCTAACAGTTAATATAATTAATAACTTATTGGTGGTAATTTTGTTTTAATTATTTAATTGTTAATATATCATAATAACTTATATAACTTTTAATATATCATAGATATTATATAACTATTAATATATCATAGAATTTATTCGATAAAAAAAAGATAACTACCTTTATTAACCTCTATCTGTCATATTAATTTTGTTTAATTTAGTATTTCTGAAATGTTTAATATTTTTAAATGTTTTTCAATACAAAAAAATTATAAAAATATATTCTATAATACATACACAAATAATACACAAATAATTGAATCTCTTTGAAATAAATTTTCATTATTTTTCCATTATTTTAAATATGCGAATAAAAATATTGTTATCATATTTAGAAATTAAAAAAACATACGTCGCTGACGATCGATTGTTTCACCGAAAAATTACATATATAATTTACATTTTTAAGGCAGAAATCGTCCATTATCAAACGTTCCATCGTTCCATTTAATTTCCAAAAATAACATTGCACATAATAATATATATAAAAAAATATATAAATATATATAAAAATATACATAAAAACACGACTTCAAGTTATATCCTTAATTCTGAAATAATAAAAAAAATTTTAACTATCAATTATTCAATCCAAATAATTGGAAGGTCGGAATATGATCTCCATACGTATTTCGTGTATCGCCAGCATTACATTGAAATGTAATGTTGTAAGCGCATCGAGAAGTCCGAGTACATAGTCGACGTATATTGAATTAGAAATTGGACGAACGCGTTCGTACAATTAACCCAAGTGACCCGATGGAATTTCCAATTCCGCATTCGGGAAGCTAATTTAATCATCCGCCCTTTGACCATCGCGTTTCTCTTTTGCAGAGTGTATCAATGTAATTGAGATGCTAATTAATGAAAAATCGGGCTGATTTAACAAGATGCTTAAGCGAAATAGATATTATAAATCCAAGAAACTAGTATAGTGTAATATATAAATTTCATACCCCATAAAAGTTAAATATCTATATTTGTATTTTATACCATAAAAATATATATTATTTATGTTCAATTATATTATATTTTCAATATAGTATATATAAAATATATAGTAGATTATAAAAAATACAAAAGTTCTTTTTATTTTTCACATTTTCATCATTGTATCTCTTATTTTTATACATATTATTATACATATTATCTGTTTTGAAAAATGTAACATATTTTTTAAAGATATTTCTGCTATCCAATGTTATATCTAAGCCATAGTAATTTCATTGGCAATCATACTTAATCGCTATAACCATCGTTCCCGGGGTCGATGTTAAGCGTTCTACGTTTAATTGAAGTCCTCGAGGGCAAGTAGATAAGACCGTATGTCTTCAGACAAGGATGCGCGCAGGAATTCGCGGAATAATATAGAGTGATCCATTAAATCGGTCTCCCGCGGAATTTCCATATCCATCTTGAGCCGCTTAACTTAGGTGATCGAACGTGGGAGGGAGCCTTTGATCCAGAGTAGAATCGGTCTTGTGCATTATTAAGGATGCTCGTTTACCTTGAAGGAGCGAGAGAGAGAGAGAAGGGAGAAAGAGAGAGAAACAGAGGGAAAGAGAGGAGAGGAATAGAAGACAAGTCGAGGAGGAGGAAGAGGAGCATGGACAGTGCATTTCGATTATGCGGCAGGCGCGCATACGTGTGCTCGAATGGGATGCAGCTGCATCCCATGCTGTTGCGAATTCCGCAACCACTTCGGCCAAGGATTCGCGAACGAGGAGCATTTCCAGCCGTTACTCGATCTCGATAAGCAAAAAGCGTCTTCGTGCCGCTAAAACAGACCGAGAACTGCGAACCGAGAAATGATCGTGTTTATCCCTCTTTGTATTCGCGTCGCACTTGCGTCGATCGAGAATGCTCAGGATAATACAAAGAAATCTCCCTCTTTCTTTCTCTTGAATTTCACGAGATTAAGCTTTGATAGAATTAGCTTCGCTATAGAGGATACGAACGCGCTCTTATCGCTATAATGCTTGCCCAGTGTTACGAGAATAAAATAGCAGTTCTTATAAAATAATAATTATTATAAATATAAAAAAAAATAATAATAATAAATATAAAATAATAAATATAAAATAATAATAATAATAATAATAAAAATAATAAATAAAAAAAATATATAAATGATTACCATAAATATTGTGTTAATTATTGTTTTTTATTATTCGCTCTATATTCTAATTTATTATATTTAGATATTAATATTATACAGATCTTTTCTTAACGATTTATATATATTTTCGAGATTTATAAACAATTTTGAATTAAAAGTAATAAACTTAAACGTACGCATTCTCGTATCGATTCGTCTGCTCTCTGTTCACCACAAACATAGCAATCACGACGGGGAGATTATTCTTATTCGTCGAATCCGACCCTGCAACCGTTAAATATCGTTAAGAGGATCACGCTTTACCGGTGCGACTGGCTTTGTTCCGCGATTCTAAGGGAAAAACTTTCCCTCGAATCGTCGCTGCGACTTTTAAATATCCTTTGATAAGACTCCCACCCTCGGTAAAACGCGCGAAAGGAGCTCTGGAAAAAAAAAGAAAAAAGTAAAATAAAACCGCGTGATAGTTCCTTTAAAGGTGCTCGAAGGGAGATTCATAAAACGAGCTAAGACGTCGGTTTTCTATCCTTCTCTCTCCTTCTCTGCACCAACTTCCTTTGTAGCCTGTCTTTGTGGCATAGCATGTAAGTATATTTACAACACGCGATGACAGCTTGTTTCAATGTAACAATAACGTATATATATATATATATACGCACATACATATGAAAGACGTACAATTTTCTTTGAAATACGCGATCATTATGCGTTTTTTTTTTTATTTTTTCAGGGAAACACAGGACAAATGAGGAAGACGCGAAGATTATTCGACTTGTTTCTTTTCTGATAATATTCCACAAAAATAAAGAAAGTGATGGTTTATTTATACCATAGAATAAAATCAAATTTGCAATCAGTTGAAATTTTATTTTGTCAAGTATTTTTATTAATTTCTAAAATATAAATTGAAAATCTGTCATCGAACTCTATTCGATAATTCTTAAATACTTTCATTCAAGATTGCAATTTACGTCGGGATGAAATTTCATTCAACGGAACGGATAAAAGTTTCTCCATGGTACGTTCAATTAATCATTTCTAGGAGAAATGTCGAAAGTCAGAAATAACTTGACAGTGCGTTTCGGGATTTGTCGAAAAGCTTACGATTATTAACTTTGTCGAAGCGTCAGAAGCCGCGCTGTGCGTGACAAAAAGCCGTGGTTTCCGCCAATAAAGCATGAAGAGAGCTTGACGCGCTAATGGAACGAAATTGCAGAGGCGAAAGGCAGTCGTTATATACGGAGTGTCCTACATTCATCGCGCCGTCTTTCATCTGCGAATTATTCGACCAATTCGCCGTCAACTTACTCCAAGCAACACCACACAATTACTTTTCAGATTTTCAGCGATTAAAAGACTATGGACTCTCAAGAATTAAATTTCAAAATGCAGAAGAAATTTAAATCTTTCGCTGCAGCTTATGATAATCTCGTGGGATGACGCAAGATAATTAGGTTCTGCGATGATCGATAAAATTTTGAAAAAATATCGATTGAAAAATTGATCCAAGAACCCTTATGATGTCTACCGAAAATGGCGTACCCTGTATATATGAGAGAATCCACCTATAAGCATTCCTCCGTTGATGATCGCGAAAGTTATACAGAAGGCTTCCGGCGAATGAATGGTATTTCACCGTTTCCAGCCCCTCTTGACTCCCCTCTTCTCGTCCAATACTCCTGTCGCTCTTCCACGATGGAAGCCCAGCAGCCCTCGTCACCACGGACCATTTACCAATACCCATTCGCCCTTCTTTTATATATATGACCGAGCTGTCCGCTCCAGATGGAAGAATACCGACTACTTTCTCGCGTTTTTCGTTGGACAGCGACACTTTACTGACATTTTCCACCCACTCTTCCCCTCTCTCCTTCTATCTTTCTCTTCCCTTTTCATATCAAAGCGACGATCGACCCAGAATGTAGTCGACTTTTCAAGATAGGGAGTAGGGTAGAGAGTACATCGGTTCGAGCGATTCGTCTCGGCGAATCGAGACAGGACTCGTGATCCATCAGCTGATAATTGACAGTGAAATAGTTTGCGCGCGCGTACAGCATTTATTACACACCGCTTCGATATCTCGACCCGTGTATTATCAACTATCTCGATCGTTCGTAATCCGTTTGCGAAACGATGCGTCTGTAGAAATTGTAAAATATCATTAAATTATATTATTTCGCCGGAGTAATTTTTCATGATGCAATGTACATCGTGTGGATCAAGATAAAGTGAAAATATATACAACTAGAGTAAAGAATTTCCTGGATATGAAACGTGAAACAGATACATAAGATCTCTAATATTTCTTCAAATATAAGGGAAACGCGAAAATATATAACAAGTTAAATTTTTTAAATATTTACTACTAATTTTTATGTAATAATTTATTATGTAATAAATAAATATAATAAAAATACTTATATATATATTAATACTTATATATACTTATATATATATATATATATATATATATATATATATATATAAATGTAAAAAGATAAAACAAAGATTTCAAGAAGTTAAATTACTATTAGCACAAATCCGTCTGTATAACAATTTTTACAAGTCGCGAGTAAAACAGCAGTTCCTTTGAGACACAAAATGACGGCCGTTCCCAAAAGTTGGCGACAGTTGTAAGGAACTCCCGGGCGAGAGAACGGGCGATTGCGAAACGACGGTAACGGAGTTAGACAATCTCCGGGCAAACGATAATTTGACCCGACGGAATAAGTGCCCGGGACAACTTCGAGATTCATCGCGCACACGAATGAACCCTCTCTATCTCTCTCTCTCTCTCTTTGCTATTTTACACGACATCACGGTCGAGCAGTCGGATTTCCGGGCTTCCTGACACCACCCCGTTGTTTACGATGTGCTTGCGCGATCCTCGATTATCTACGTCGCCGAGAATTAGTCGTTCGCCGCCGGTTCGAATTTATTCGAAGACGCTTCCTCGGAGGAAGCTCGCACGTCCCGACCCATGTTCATCGAGCTAAGAGAAGAGTTAGAGGGTTATGGAATCTCTCGATGGCTTAACAAAGTCACGAGGCAACGAACCGCTATCCCATATCGCGGAGCACAAGGGACGGAGATAGCTTATGGATCTTGAGCCAGCGACAGATTGTTTTGGCAGCAATGATACGGGACGAAGTCATTGCGACTGAATATTTGAAAGCTCTTCATCCAGACAGAACAGATACGCAAATCGTCTCGAAAAATTTCCAAATCTTACTTTTGTAGATTCGCGTCAACCGATTTGCAAGAAAAAAAAAGATTATTCCTTAACTAAAATATATTTATTATATTATAGTCATAAATAGATAATAAGATCTAATTATTTCAAATGCATTAGATATTACAATCAATTTGCAATAAAAAAAGATTTTTCCTTAGCTAAAATATATTTATTATAATCACAAATAGATAATAAGATCTAATTATTTCAAATATATTAGATATTACAATCGATTTGCAATAAAAAAAAGATTTTTCTTTAGCTAAAATATATTTATTATATTATAGTCACAAATAGATAATAAGATCTAATTATTTCAAATACATTAGATATTACTTTCTTTGCAATTTTAATTTTAGATTTAATTATGCGAAATATCTATTTCACTGTATGACACTGCATAGTATTTAAAATAATTTTTTCATTGTAATAAAATATATGAACGTTCTCTTAAATAATCATTCAGTTAGATTTTGAAGTTTTTTCCAATAATGAATATCACAATGTATTATAATTGGCAAGATAAGTGTTTACGGTGAAGCTCAATAGACCTTGTTACATTCTAGGTAAGTAATTTATAGTTTATAAACGTCGTAGTCAATTATGGAAAATCTCGAGATAAAGGTGAATTTGGCGAAATTTCGCCGGAAGGGGCAATAAATAAAATGTAAATTCTGATTGCGCCTCGCTCCGGGGAAAACTGGTGACGATTGTCGTCCGGATCGAAGACCGAGGGAAAAGCGCACAATAGGAACGTTCAAGTAATTTGCGACGACGCATTGAAGGAGAGTTGCTACTTCGGTGAGATCTGGGACGGAGGGAAATCGTGCGCGAACGAAACGTTACGAAAAAGATTATCGATACCTCTCTTCGAAGCCATCTCGTCCAGGAATTCTTACAGGCTAATCCGTTTTCAAAGGGAAAATCAATTGTATGGATCGTTATGCGCGATGACAGTCGAATAAAGATTGTCGTTTATTCACTTTCCGACGCGAAGATCTTAAATGAAAGAGAGAGAGATAGAGAGAGATGGACTTTTTGAGAAAATCTGTGAAATTGCTTTATCGAACTTGAGACTCCAACTATGTATTTCATTTTCGAAATTCTTTTGCTCTCTCTTTTCTTCGTTCTCATTCGCTTCGCAGCAAGTTTAGCATAATTCATCTCAATTCATCTCATGTGTAATGACTACTTCGAATTATATAAATGAAAGAAGTAAATATTTAAGGTGATATAAAGTAACCTCTGCTTAGAGATGTTACTAAAAAGCAATTGCTTGTAAGAGAGAGAGAAAAAGAAGGAAAAAGAAGTACAAGAATCACTCATTCGCACGCGAAACTCATGGCCAGTAGAAAGGAAATGCATGTAGACCGACAAAGACGCAAGATGGATAAGGGAAACTATGATATAACGTTGATGTTCAACCCAATTATCCGGAGAGTGTTCAAAGTCTACTATCTCGTCCAGAGGAACGGGATAAACTTGGATTCAACTTCGCTCAAATCAAAATAGCTGGAGGTATTTTATGGCAATTACATTGAACACAAAGGAACGTCCTACAATCATCGAAACTTGGATTCGAATATAATTTGGGAAAAGCGAAACTCGAATAATGCTTGCGTTGCGCGAATATTACGTGCCATTTTATATCTCAAAAATGAGAATATAATTAATTTACATATTTATAATTGGTGAGATAATTATTATAATTATTGCATATTATGTTACATATATTATCATTATTAATCATCATTATTATTATATAAATATTGCAATTAATTTATATTTAAAGAAACGTATAATTAATTTAATTTATTTATTCTTATTAAGATAAATTACAAATTATCTCTTCATTATACAATTATGTATAAAGAGAAACGACAAATTTAGAAAATCTCTTGTTTCTATGGAAGAAATTGAGTAATATATTTCTACCGTTCAAATCAGTCAACCTTTACATTTTGTTCCGAACCATTGAAAGTCAATCTAAAACTTTTCTTTACTGTGACTCCTTTTGTTAACTTATGTTAAATTCACCTTAAACTTATTTGGTTTCATCAGTTTAAAGACCATTTTCCAAGATACTATAAAAAAAGCCAATTTTTTAGAATATAAATTTTCCTATTGTTGCTCATATTTTAGAAGAAAAATATTCCGATTGCTTCCAAATATAAAAAAATTATTACATACATTCTTTGAATTGTTTATTATTATATTTTTCAATTAATTATTATATTCTTTAAAAATATACTTTTATGAGAATATATTCATGTGTACACACAAGTAATTAAATAGAAAGGAAAAAATGATTTCCTATTTATTTATAATTAATTTATTAAATTTATTTATTAAATAATATTTATAAGAATAATAAGTTTTATATCAATCTCAGACTTCAATTTAATTAACTTTTAATTATATTTCTGTGTGTGTTTAGATTCAAAAAACCACGTTAAGCGATCGAAAGGAAAAGCGAAGAAGGATCGAAAGGAAAAGGAAGCACGTGAATTGGGTCGCATCGATATCCGACAGATAGAAAAATAGAAAAAACGTACCTGTTGAGGAGCCAGATGGATGGAGAGGCTGCTCACGATGGTGACTTCCAGTACGACCCGCTCAGAACCGGCGGTATTGTTCGCGTGGCAGACGTATCTGCCGGCGTCCTCGACACGAGCCGGCTGTAGCACCAGGACACCAGCCCGTGCGTGTATCCTCTCCGAGTTGAAAACCATCGTCGTGCCCGACAAAGACTCGCGGAACCAGAGATACGTTGGCGGCGGGTTACCTTGCGAGATGCACAACAACACGATCGTCTCGCCGGTGCGAATCGGTCCGGGATTTGTTCGTTCGTTGAATCGCGGCGGTGACGAGTTGCGATGCTCTGAAGCAGGAAGAAAAGAAACTTGGGATAGAAAAAAAAATTATAGATCGTAATGCGATTTTTAGACCTTTTTTTCTCTTCGAAATTACGTATATAATATCTATAATGCAAAATATATGCAAGACAATTCTTTTCTGACCAATCTTCAACATGTGTAGATATTTTTTATTGAATTTATTATTATTATTTTTATTGAATATGGTATATATGTTTCATTTTATAATATTATTTTTTTATAATATTTTATATTTTATAATATTATTTTTTTATAATATTATTTTTTAAATATTATTTTAATTTTATATATATTATTTATGATGATGACCGACCAGCTTCAATAAACTTCCTAAAACTAATTATCTACATAGTTGTAGGATTTCTTATTGCTATCGATCCTGATGAGAATGCATGTCCAAAAACATAAAATTATCCAATACTCCCGCAAGAAAGCAAAAAATTGATAACGTCTTATATTATATATTTGGCGAATTAATTTATAAATTAATTTAAGATAATTAATTTTATTTATGCAATATAATAAAATTTGATAATTTAATATTGAAAGCAATATGTTTGTTTATAATTGTAAAAATTTTGTAAGATTAAATTATAATTACATATACACATAAATACATATATCAATATATTTAAAATTGCATAAATGTTACATATGTTATATGTATATAGATGGATAGATAATTGGATATTTTTAAATTATTACATTATTAGGTGTGTGTGTGTGTGTGTGTGTGTGTGTGTGTGTGTGTGTATGTGTCTGCCATTATATCAACAATATGTATAATAAAATTTTAGAAATGACGGTTTATTGATCGCATGTTCATTATAAATGTATATCAACTAATGATTGCATTTGCTTAATGAAATTCAATAAATGCAAATTATTGTTGGCTTATGCATTGTTGCACATTACTCATTATTATTAATAATTATTATTAATCAATGAACATATTTGCAGCATGTTTTCGCTGTGCGAAAATTATTACCTTACAAATATGCCATCAAATTTAAACTTTCACAAATGCATTTCTTTCATTAATTTCTGGGGATTTAGATAATCCCTGAGGAATATCTTGCCAAGCCTTTCTCCTGGAAAGTGTCGTTAAGTAAGAGATCTCCGCAAAGAGTTGACTGAGCAGACAAAGATTTCGCTTTAACTTTTTAATGCACATAATGCAAAAATCGTCCAACATTATTCCGCATTTTCCGAAACACGAAACTTTAATGGAATCTTCATATTCGATATTTTCTGTCGCTATTAATTTCGGAATATTTTAATGCTATTTCGACGCTGGGAATTTTTAAAGGTATTTCGATTAAATATTTGCTTTATATCATGGCATTGCATTTATTTTTACATTTAAAAGAATTTTAGGAAATTTATCTCAGCAAAATATATGAAATTTATAATTAAAGCATCGCGAGATAAGAGGAATGAAAAAAATTAATAATCGAAATACTACGATAGAGAAATATCAATTCGAAATATCATCATTTACTTCTCCCTTCAATCATGATATCAGTCATTCTCAACGATTGCGAGCACCGTTTAATAAAGCGGCGATACAATTGTTGATATCCGAAAATCCGGCGCGCTCTCCAAAAATTGTAGAAAAAGAGAAAGACTGCGAGACAGAGAGAAAGAGAGAGAGGGAAAAAGAAACACATTCGAACGCGAATATAAATCTCCATTTCACGTGCAGCAACAGCATGCCCGCGTCATACTGGGCAAAATCCGTGTGTAAATTTCAGAGCAAGCGACCAGTTTTATCGCGGATAATAGAATCAATAAACTCGAGCTTCGATTCAGTCACATCGATAAAAACGTCGGAAGCAATTCTACCCGGCCGCGAAGGGGTTGTTCCGAACGAGGAGAGCGGTAACGATGATGACGACGACGACGACGACGACGACGACGACGACGACGATGATGAAACAAGCGTCCAATTTCCCGGCCGGGACGGGCTCTCGAGTGTACAGCCTGCCGAATATAACGGGCATTTTATTTCACCTCTCAGCAACGATTAAGCATCTCTCCCTGCCCCGCGATCCCGCGGAGATGTTTGCCTTGGACCGATCTCGGACAGGGCGACGCCGTGGCCTTTTACGACCGCGCGCTATTTTATAATGGCGCGCTTTGTTCCTGGTCGCGGCGTTATTATTGTAATTTAAGCTGATGGCGTATTGATCGTCGCTATGAAGCCGTCTCGCTCCCGCTCTCGCGACTCCTCTCGCTCGGTCTCTTGCACCCCTCCGTCTTTCTCATTCTCTCCCTCTCTCTTTCTCTCTTTCTCTGTCGTCCTCCCTTTGGTACACACACCCTCTCCAATCCGAGAGTCTCTTCCTCTCTCATTCGTCCCTCTCTCGCTCTCATTCTCTCCCTATGGTACTGTGCAATTCCAGTTGCCATATTCCTGCACAACGCCACCGTCACCACACCCTTGTTCATATCCTCGTTCGGTGCACCGTCTCGTCCCGTGCATATGTACGTCGAAAAGTTTTTACGCCATTTACATCCCGACTTACGCCCCTCGACGTCAACGTCGTCGACGCTGTCGTCGGCGTCGTTGTCGCTCGAGCAAACAAAAAAAAAAAAAGGGAAAAAATATGGCCTCGGGGCGCGCTGTTGCGAGTGTCGCAATTGCATTTTGCGCTGCACGCGCCGGCGAAAGTTCGCCGGTAAAAATCCGCTCGTGCGAGAGCCCCGGTATTTCGCGGAAAGTATTTTTCTCGTGTTAGCATATATTTTATTTTTACACACGCAGAGTACGGGGTAATCTCTCTTACGTGCAAGTATTCTGTGCATGTGTGCGTGTGTGTGTGTTTTGCTGTATGATGACAGGTAAATAGAACTTGGCGTAATTAACATATTTTATATCTGCCACGTATGTATTTCCCTTCTGACACGAATTCTCCGCGTTTGCGCTCGATCCGCGAATTCTCAGCGGGACGCAAAGTTCGAAAAACGACCTTTCTCGACGTACTCGACGTGCCCCGCTGTATCGTGCCAGCTGGTGCATCATACACCGAGAACTTTTGTATTATATCGCGTGCGTTTCCTTACGTTTCAACGTCACTATGCCCGTTGACGTAAATAAGACAGAAAGGATGCTGTCGCGATATGAGAATTGGAGAGTTTAAAGGTAGATTTTATATAAAACTCTGAAAAAGATACAACTCATCAGCTGTAGCTTTGATTAAAAAAAGATGCGCTTTATTATACACTTACGTATGTAAATACTGTTGAATCATGTAGATTTTTTTAACAAATTATCACTTCTCTCTTTTATCCTTTGTCTGCGAAATTATTTTAATTTGACAGTTAAATATAAAGTTTAATTTAATTGAAAATAATACAATACAATAAATGTAATTATATAATTGGTTAAATGTTATGCAATATGTAGCAAACCTGCAACTTTTTAATTAAAATTAAATTTTATAAATTTTAAATTTAATAAAAGAGAGAGACAAAAAATGAAAAAGAAAAAAATCGTATGGAAAATTTAATTAATAAAAATAAAAAATAATTATATAAATTTTCAAGTCGCAAAAATATTCCATAATATAAAATTTTTACAAAAAAACCGCCCTTCTTACTACATTTATTTTTAAAATAAATAACACACATTTTTATATCTTTTAATCGAAAGACGCTCAATGTAAATTTTTCAAAAAGTTTGAAATAAATGCAATTCATTACTCTTATACTTGGGACAACAAATAGATGTACACGAAACATGATTATGGAGCAAATTCCGAGGTCTGGGATGGTGTACCGCTCCGAGCGTTATTCCGGACGGTTAAACCGCGTTCAAACAAACATCTTGGTATTCTTTGAGCCGTCATCTATTGATTATGCAACGCGAAATCGAGTTTCTTCTTTTTTAACCGATGCGAAGGGTGGGCTCTGAGCGGAGGGTGAAAAGAGAGAGAGAGAGAGAGAGAGAGAGAGAGAGAGAGAGAGAGGGCGAAGGAGAGAAAAGGCGCGTAGGAGAGAAACCGCGCGGAAAACGGTTAGTAAGTCCCGTGTGCTCTCTTTCCCGTGTAACGGGCGATGTCCAATTAAATCTCTCGTGCTGGCGACTCCAATTAAGACTCTATTAAATATACACCCATCGCGCGCGTGTATCGTCGTCAAAGCGAAATTCAAATGGCGCTGGTCGTTTTCTCCTTCTCCTACATTACTATTTGCTCCGAACAAACGCGATCTCGTCTCGTAATAAAGTTGACGCTAATTATCCGTGCGAGATATTTTATTGCAAATTACGAAACGTACTTATCACGCCTTTTCTATCGCGATTGTTTCAAGAATTTTCCCTGCGTCAATATTTTATGCGCGATCGGCGATCAATTTATCCGTACAAACGATTTTAATAATTAATTTTGAATAAATTAAGATTTCTCCACAAATTTTTGGCGCTAATAGAAGTGAAATTATAAACATGGAAAATTATTGTAAATAATTTTGAGGTAATGTCAAATTTAAAAACTGCTAAAAAAATCAAGCAGGACATTTGTACAGCTTTAAAGCTCAAGACAAGTTTAATCATTTATGCAAATAAGGGACACTCTCGCGAAATTAATTACGTTTGCATTATATTGGCAACCATATTACTATTAAAGCTCGGTCTCAGTCTACGGTCGATGGTGTACGCATATATAATTTAATGTCATCCGCTGATTGCTCCGGAATTCGGGTCACGATGCGATACCCATCGCATGCAATTTGCGCCGAAGACGCGCAATCACTCCCCCTCGTGCGATATTACTCGAATTAATAGTAATCAGAGTAAGAACTACTCTTGAGTGTGAGAGAGATCGAAATAATCGTGGTCATTTTATTTGCATGTGAAATTTGAAGAGAAATGTATATATATAAAAAATTCTCGTTTCAGAAATATAAAAAATGTATAAAATTTCTCTTTCGCATTTTATATATTTATAAACAACATGACCCATTTTTCAATCCTAGATTTAAT